GCCCAAGTAATGCATAAGCAAAATTTGCTTAATTCTTGCTTAATTTTATACTGTTTTATAATAACTTGGCAGCTGAGTTTGCTCAATTGTGATAATCACCTCTTCACGACCTCCCTTTTTTGTCATTGGTTTAGTTTATTTTGCCAGTTTCCCCAGGCTTATACCACCTCATTAGCTGCTGACTTGTAGAAAACATCAGCTTAAAGCTCGACTGTATCTCCCCAAAGCCTCGTGTACTCCTGCACAGTGAGGGGATGATGGATGCTGACATACTGATCGTTCTTCGTGACTAAGGCCACTGTTAAAATCGTCCCCTAATGATTATAGCCCCTCAGCCCTCTTTGGTTACACACCAGGGCATGTCACGGCGGTGCACTGCATTTCCAAGTCCCCCAACAGGAGCTCCTGTTCTTAGGCATGAAAGAAAGATGAGAAAATAACAACAGAAGATAAAGATCTGACCCCTTGTTTCACCAAACACGTGAGAACTGATTGAACAATGCAACTCCTCTCTTAGCTTTTCACGTAGCCCTCTGTTTGCAGCTTGCAGGTCTTGCATTCACGTTCTTCCTCTGCCACTCGGTTAAGGCAGATGAGTACTGTGCAGAAATGCACATACACCATTCTGCCGCCTTCTCCCTGCATGCACTGGTCCAGCCTGTGCACTTCTGAGGGAGAGTTTGGTCTCGGATCAGTTCAATGCCACCCAGCCTTTCTCATGGCCTGGCCCTGGAAGCGTGTCCATCACATCAGTGCCTGCACAGGTGTCCCCTTCCTGCCCATGTTGTGGTCCCTCATCACTGAATTATGTTCATGTGAGCATCCTTCACACGGCTGTTCTTGTCATGTGAGGTGTCACCCTGCTAGTCTGTCAGGGATTTGAAAAGACTGGAAATAACATACCTTTCATCTATTTAGAATAGAATTCAAAGATAACGTGGGCTCTGCACCTCCTCACTCTGTTTGTGCCATCAAAGTTACTACAGGGGTTGTGTCACCCAGCTCCGAAATCAAGCAATACCAGGACTGGAATGCAGCATCTGCTGAAACAGCGCACAGAAATAGTACACAACAATTTTTAAGGGGGGGAAGCTGGGAGCACCGTGATTAACTGAAAATGCCAAGGGAATTGTAGGTGGGTGGAGTGCTTCTATCCAGTGTGGGATTTGGCTAGAGAACCAGAACATCTCTGAACTTCTGAGGGACTGGTGATAACCACAGCTGATCAGGACTCACCTCCACATCACGGATGAGCATCAACATGAAGCAACATGAATTCTGCTGTATCTTTCAATTTTATTTTTTATTCATCTTTTCCCCATTTCTGTCCATTATTGAAATTTCTCGTACAGATGATGAGACCTCTGTAGTGGTTTGCAGGTGTTGCTAGTTCCCAGGCAGAGGCAATGAACGGCACAGTTTCACAAGAGCATTCAGTGGGAACCTCTTGGTGAGCTTTCCCAACACACGCCTGTCCTGGCCCTCTCGCTCGAGTTCCTACCTCCTTGCTGTGCCATCCATTCTCCTCAGTCATTCCAGTTAAATTATTTATAGAGTCACATAGCGAACTAGATCAGGCAATTAATGTTCTGCCCTGCCCTCCCTGATGAGATCATCTGTGTTAGTGAGCAGCAGGTCCTGTAGAGAGCCTCCTCTGGTTGGAGCGTCTGTCACCTGGCTGAAGAAATTGTCCTCAAGGCCAGGCATCTTCCACTTGATGCATTCTCTGACCCTGTGATAAAAGCATCTTTATGGTAGCTCAGGTGGTGTTTCAAAGAGAATTTCCATGCAGTTATCTTTTTACTAGCGTTAAATACTTACCTGCTTCGTATTTGGACCGTGAAGAGCATTTTCCATGTGCACGAGCTGCATTTTTCTTGAATGAAAAGCTGAATAAATAGATCTAGGAATAGGTATACGTAGTTTTTTTTCTGATTAGTTGATATTGGGGTAATTGTATTGAAGTGGGATGTTGAACGTACTTGCTATTTGGCAGTAGTAAGGGAGAAACATGTTAATTCCCAAAGAGCAATACCTGTTACCAGTTATTTCTGGTAGCTGATAAGAAGGGTAATAATCAAAATTCCATAATTAAAAATACGTTAGCTGTTTTGACTTAAATTCGGAAAAGACAGGCTCCGTGGTGCAGGCACTCTTTTTGCATTGCTACGTGAGCTTATAGCACAGCAGCGTGTGTCCATGCTTTGGGGACAGTAGCACTTGATGTTCTTTGTGGCAGAAACAGCATTTTTGTTATGTTATCATATAAAATATGAATTTTAATACTAAATGTAATGCTTTGCTATGAGAAATATGTAAACTTGGCTTCAAAGGAGCAGCATGCACTTCCTGGAATTCTGTGCATAGCGTGGTTATAAATAAGCAGCAGGTTATTTGGGATTCACTAGGGCTGATATCTGGTATCGTTAACAGTATCTGGCAGAAATTGTTTTCCCTGACAGACAGTTGATTTTTGATTAATGCAATATGCTTTGTTATGAAAACCAGTATCTTAGAAGATTAATGAATACCAAGCATAAATCCGGCATGGTGACTGGCTCATAAAGCAAATACGTATATGCTATTTAATTACTTTCTATCTCATCTCTTGCCAAAATTTTATTCCTTTGGAAGCATCATAGTCAAATTTAAATCATTTTAAAATAGGACAAAAAATGGTGCTAGACATGGGTTGCAAATACAGGGTTTAATTCTGGCTTTAAAATTAATTAATTTGAAAGGGAATTATTTTTCATTTGTGCATGAGTGCATAGCACTGGAAACATGATGTATTTGTATTAAGTACGCTTTTTCAGTCTATAAGAAAGTATTCTCTTCGTTGTCCAAGTTGTTAATAAGCTGCAAGAATTGATGTTTTCTGCTTCATTGCTACTGTTTTACGAACTTATTGTTGCCTTACATGCAGTGTCCTTGTTGTAGGGCTCGGCCTCCCCATGGCGGGGACCTTGCCCCTGGTTCTCCCATCTCATCACCTGTCTGCTCGGAGCGTGTGCTTCGTTCAGCGCCACGTCCCGTGGGACAGCGCTCCAGCACGTTCCGGGGACTTGGCGCTGCCAGCGAGCTCCTGGGACACGTGGCTCTTTGAGGAGGTGCAGCACCAAGGGGCAGGAGGGAATCTCTCCGTGCGGTGCCGAACTGTGCCGCCTGTGTTCTCCTTGGTTTTATTTCTGTGTTGCCCTCTGTTACTTACCGGCAGGGAAGATCATCAGATCCACCTGTATGTGATTCAAGCAGGGAGGTGCTCTGCATTTCTGCTTTGCGTATGGGATGTGTTAAATCGGATGGAACTTACCCGACAGTTTTTAAAGAAAAATGGCCCCTGAGGTTTAGTTGAATTTGCAGCTTTGTCTGCTCTTTCGGTGAAACTGTTAATTGTAAAAACTAGTGATTTGTGAAAAAATGCTGAATTAGCTTTGAGGTGTCTCTAAACGATAAAGACAATGCCTGAGCAGTGCTTTAAGGATACAAAGTTTTTAAAGAAATCCCAGTCCAGTCAGCATGCAAATATTTTCTACTGAAAATTTATCTACTGCTCTTGAATGTATTGATTGGACAGACATCTCAAGAACAGACGTTACTGTTTTGTGAGAAAATCATTGAGAGCTATTTCTTTCTAGGTTTTACTGAAGCGTGAAGTGAATGATAATGGAGCATGTTCTCCCTCTCAAAGTTTATCCTTAGTTTGTGCATCTCTGCTGCTCTGTCACGTTCCTTTCCCTCTGTCAGCCCTTGTCAGGGTGTTGCTGGAAGGGCGCTGAGAAACCTTGTGGGAATTTCTGCGCTGTCTGAAGCGGTGGGTGTGAATGGGTGACTTGGCCACTGCATATGGTCCAGTCTGAGCACCTTAAGCACCGCTGAGCATTGAAAGATGAGATAGCTAACATGAACCTTGAGACCTGGAAGTTTTCAGGTGGTTGCTGGCAGTGCTCGCTCCAAAGCCAACCTGTGCCATGGCGGGCCGGGAGGCAGCTGGGAGGCAGCTGGGATGCCTTCCTTGCCTTCCCTGGAGGCCGGCTCCCACTGCTGCCTCCCAGCAGCACCTTTGGGCTGCTCGCTCCGAGACACGGCACCGGTCGAGCCTGCAGCAAAGAACATTGTCACGTTTTGGGCAGTTTTTGACTTCTATTTAAGTAAATATGGAAAAGTAGCAGTCATGGTCTGCATACATGTGCATGAGTATCTTGTGGTGGCACAGTGTGGCCTGAACGCTGGCGTAGCCACATCCAGGAGCCAAGCCTGAAGTGCTGCACGAGTGGTCAGCTCGGCAAGTGGGAGCGGTGGGAGTTCCCTAAGGGCTGCCTCTAGGAGATGTTCCTAACTGTTCCTTGCAAAGTCAGCGTGCTTAGTCACTGGAACAGCAGTTTCTACTTTTTTTTTTTTTTTTTTTAATACGTTCTAATACTTTGTTTTCTCTTTGATAAAATGATAATTTTTTATTTGGGGAAAAATGTTTACAATTCATGCAGTTCTCTCTTCACCGATTGGATGTCAGGATCCCCCTCCCGTACCCGTTACATGTGCATATAACGTTTTCCTTACCGTACAAGTCAAAAAGTCACCAAGCTTTGACATGAACGTTTCAACTACGTGGTGAACTGTAATTTCACTCTGCTTTTTCAAATGTGGATGGAGACTATAATTCATGCAAAGAGTGGATTATTATTATTTTGTGCTTTGAATTATACATGAGTTGGCACAGGAAACATTTGAATTTCATCAGTGCTTAACGTAGATGCTGTGGACTAAGAAGGCATTTTGGAGTGTCACATAAATGCTCTGCTGAAATAGCTTAATTGTAACCACTGATAATGCGCAACAATAAAGGGGTAGAAACCAGTAATTGCAAAAATAATGGTACCAAACCATCTTTATTCTTGCTTCCTTGTCCTTGGATTACTGTTTATAAATTTTTGCTTTACTGATGTAAAAATTTTAGGAGTAAAAAGACTTCTCTCTTTTTTTTTTCTTCTATTTGACAGACTAGAGACGACTTCCTGGGTCAGGTGGATGTGCCACTTAGCCACCTCCCGGTAAGCAGTGCTTTTGTCTCTGTGTGCTCTCTTTGTCATCACCAGATATGTGAACTTGAATTTGTTTTTATTTGTATAGTTGAATGGGTTAACACAGGAATGTTGGAAGTTATTGAAAAACATTTACATCAAATTAAAGTGTCGTGAGCATTGAGTACTCATGGAGCATGAGCATTGTTATTTTTGCCTGAATTTGACCCCTTGCTATTGATGGATGTTATTACGTGAGGAAAATGGCTTTGCAGTGACTTTCACAGTGATGCTTATTTGGATATGTCTGTTATGGTTGATCTTGAGTCATAACACTGTTGTTGTTGGCTTATAAACTGCAATAGTTGAAGAATATGATGGAAGGATCAGAAATGTATTCTGATGAAAAAAGCATTATTCCATTCCCTAGCATAATAGCAACATTTTTTAGTATTATTGTGTCCGTATTTGTGTGTATACTTCCATTTACACACATGCATGTGTGCAGACATTCTCTCTCTCAAAGCAGCAGATACACAACTGTAGAGAGAGTCCCCAGTGTGAAGCTGCACGTGTACTGCAGACACGGTGCTCCAAAGGAGAAAATGATGAGGGACGTATTAGTGCATGTCTATTTTGCAGTCAGGTAGCATTTTACAGTTCCTTTTTAGTAAACGTTATTTTAATAATTAAAAATCATCAGCAAGAGTTGAGGTAGAGCTAGAGGCATGTCACAGGCTGTGAGCTCTTTGGAGGAATTGGCAGCTTTCTGCTTTCCGTCGGCATTCTGTAGGCAGATGACAGCCCTACTGTCCTCTCCCCAGGGACTTGCCTCGCACTTCAGCGTGCATCTCACATTCTAGCTCTTGTTTAAACAGTGGAACGCTAAACTGACTCTTTCAAATTATTTTTAAGTCTTCTGCTGTCTTTAAATAGAAAATGCAAATTGTCTGGTTGAGCTCCTTTGCTGCCATTGAAGAATAAATTCCATTATCTAAAATGAGAAAATGTAGTCCAGAACTCCCCGCTTCCTTCCATTGAGGCTCACTACAAAGTAAATGTGAGTCCTGTACAAAATCCTTCCTCACTCTCCATATTTGCAGATAATTTGTTTAGCTCCAGAAGCAACTTTTTTTTTTTTCTCCAAAATTTCTCCTGGAAAACTTGTAATACACATCTCAGAGCTGTCATTCGTTCTGTTTCTGGCTCTAACATAGCAGTGTCTCCCATGGGCTGTTCTCACGCTCTGCGTCAGTTACTTACATCATGCTCATCGAGGTGTGTGTACTCATTTGGTGTTCAGGGAAACATGCTATAATTCTTTACGTTCTAATCAATGTTATCCTCATTCATCCTTCCAGTATGCTCCATGAGAGATCATGGAGCAATTATTTAAAATATTTTCTTTCTCATTCTAACTGTGTTGCTGATTTGTTTGGCAAAATCCTGGCTTTCTCTGGCACTATCTAATTGCTATCTGCAATATTTGGTTAAAATAAACAACTTCTTTTTTAATGCACGTTGCATACAGATGAGAGTACTAAAAAGCAATACTTCTCAATCGTGCATTTTTTAAAGTCCTTGATTTGATTATAATCTACTATCTCACCGAGAAAATGGGAAGTCTGTCTTGCACAGATTGAGTGGAAACCTAATGCAGGAAATGCCTTGCAGGATAAGAGTTCATTCCGTGAAAGACTGTATGTTATTTGATATAAAATCTGAGATCAGGAGTTAGGCTTCATTTTGAAGTTATTACTTACTGACTTTGAAATACCACAGACAATAAAGCTTTTACTGATTAGTAATCCGGGAGGCAGGTTATTCTGTGTTTATAAAGGCTTAGTAGAGGAATGGGGCACAAAAAGTATTGTTGTTTTTAAGGATGGGGCTGGAAAGGGATTTCTAGATGTACCACCATTTCTTTTTAGTAGGTGGCAGAAAGGAGCAACATTCCTGCTACCTTGGTGCTCATTTTGAGAAAGTTTCATGGTAATCCAAGGTACTAGATCTCAGGTCTCTATTGGAGCATGTGTGGTAACGTGCTTACTTTTTCAGTGTTACACAGCTCATGCTTCCAATCTGTCAGCCCCAATGGTACAACAGGTTAATGTGCCCCAAGCAGTCCAAAGATTAGACTTGTATATGGGCCTCTGGTTCTTTTATTTACCTTCTCATTTTTAAATCTCTAGTTTTGTACCTATAAAGTGCCTGATCTCACAGACTTGATGGATGTAACTTACCTTGATAAAGAAGCTGAAATTCTTATGCAATAGAAAGTTTTTAAGATTTAAGGCTTTGTGAAACATAATTAAGTGGAAATCAGAAAATGTGATCTGTCGGCCTGATAGTATTACAAATCTGCTTCATACAGAATTTCATAATTCATATAGTCTTAACTGAAGGTTTTGAAAGTTTCAACAGTTTTGAAATAAAAAAAAATGAAAGCTAACTGAAGAATATTTTATTTAACAGCTTTCTAAAGTGCAGTCAAAATACTGCTTCAAGTGGATGCAGCCTTCTCTGACGATGCTGTTGGGTGACTGCATCACGTTGGAGAGGGGTTGTTTACTGGGTCTTTCCCAGCTTTCACTGAGTTACGAACGTTTCTGTGCATTTACAAACGTTTCTGTGCACTTACAAACAAGGCTTGGTTCAGCCCGTTACTGGTATTTGCAGTGACATCTAGTGGACCTCTTCCGCAGCTATATATTAAACATCCACCCACTGTAATTATACTGTAGCAGGTCTGCCAGCTGTAACTTTGTCACTGGAACAAATCCTCCCTAGCAGTTTTAGTTGGTCTGTGATGTGAATGTTCTTTATAGATCTCTGTACTTGTTGGAAAGCCCTGTAATGTGCTATTTTCTTAAATACTTGTAGACTGAAGACCCAACCATGGAAAGGCCATACACGTTTAAGGATTTCCTTCTCAGACCAAGAAGGTGAGGGGGAAGACCTTTGTGTTTTAAAACATTTCTTACCTCGAGATTTATTATTTGCAACTATTTAAGGGCTATTGAATGAAATGCTTTTCTTTGTTTTGTAGCCACAAATCTCGTGTAAAGGGTTTCTTGAGACTGAAGATGGCTTATATGCCTAAAAATGGTGGTCAAGATGAAGAAAATGATCAAAGGGATGAATCTGAGGTAAGACACTTAATCAAGAGTTCACTAGTTGATAACCTCTTTTTGTCATTTTTATACATGTTGAGGTATTCAAATTATTAGAGATCTAAAAATATAATTATAGAAAAAGTTACATTTTTGAAATATAAAATGCTGATAACAATGTTGGTAGCAACTTACTCCCAAACACATGCACACAGGTGTGTTTTTTTTTTTTTTAGCTGTAGGGTGATGTTTTCTCTACTATTTCAAGTACATCAAAGTATTTCAAGTGGCACAATGAATTCTAAAGTTTGTCTTACTCAGTTATGGTGGTATTTTTTTCATTTTTATGAACATTCTGAAGACCTTATAAGTCATGCAAAGAGGGCAGAAGAATTCAGAAGTCTATCCAGGTAATTTATATGTGACATAAACATGATGGTCTGTATTAAATATATAAGTACCTCTTCCTGAGAAGCCATTTCAAGGTAGCCGTCAAAACGCTTTTCTTCATTTCTTGGCAGCACTGGCTTTACAGAGAATACAGCTCATGGAGGCACAGCAGGTTTAAAGATTTCTCAGCACTCTTATCAGCCATCATGCATCTTAAGAATTACTGCGTTTAGAGTTGACCAAGTGGATGTTAGCCCAAGTTTGCTTTACTAATAATGCACAACAGTTGCCTGTAACTTGAGAATAAGGGCTCTCATCCCAAGCTATATTTTTCTTCTCTGGAGGTTGCTTTTCAGAGGGTCTGCCTTGGTCATGGTACAGAGGCAGCAGAGCTGTTTCTTAGCAGTCATTGATCTGCACATGTTAAAGCAGCCTATCAGGCTATCCAGCCTATCAGCATATCCAGCCAAAACCATGCTTTGTCTGGACCTTATGGCAGGGTGTTGAGTCTCTTATTACTATGAAGGCAGTTTACAGGTTCAAAACCATTTTTTTTCTCTCTCTCATATGAAAAAGTGAGTGTGTTCATGTATAAGTACTTTTGTATTTTGTCTATACTTTGTACGTATTGTATTATAATTTCGTATATGAATTCATATATGAATCCAAAAAGTTTTATGTGTGTCACATAAATATATAGTATTTATATAAAATAATCAATAATCCGTATATCTGAATTGTATTCCGTATATAATCCGTATATCCTAGAAATTGCCAAATTCTAAATGTAATCTGAATTTTCTTTGATACTTCAAATAAAAAGAATCTTAAGTCAAGATCCTCCTGACTTATATACATAAGGTAACGCCACAAGGCTCTAGTAGTGTCCTGTGAAAACAGCATTTCAAGTAAGTCAATAGTAAAGAAATTCTTTTAGGCTTTGTTTTATCAACACACTTACAACTATTCCTTAATATTATACTTCAGTTTTTGAGGACTAATGGGGAAGGAATATTTTTAACTATAGTTGAATTACAGTAAGGTAGCATTTTATGCCTGTTGAATCTTACATAAGTGAGGATATTTTACCTAGAAAGAATCCACAAAGGCAATTAGATTTCAGTTTGAATTCAAGTAGATTTACATATTAAAGTCTTTTGGGATATGCTTATGAAACAGGAGTAAAATATAGGGTGGTGTTGGTGGTGTAAGTGAAGTTATTGAATATGTTTAGAAATAATATTGATTTTAGGTTTGTTTATTTTCCCAGAAGAGGTATGGTTGAATGATCTGCACATCTGTATGGTGTCCTGCTTTTGCATAGCTTTTTTGCTGCTGTCAATAACTTTTAGCCCATTTGGCAAGCTGCAGCTGAATTTGACAAAAGGATAGAATAGATGTGGTGAATAGAAGTTCCCATATGCTTTAAGAAAATAGCAGCTGGGAAAGAGAAAGGAAAAATGAAGGATTATGCTTCATGAAGAAAAGGTCACAGCTTGAGTTCAAAAGTTAGCAGTTGGTTCTGTTTGGCTTCATGACTGAAAATCTGCACCTGGCCACCACCAGGCAGAGTGCCTGCCCAAATAAGTTTAGGAATCCCTGTTTTAATAAACTGGTAGAATTTTAGTGGTTTTTGTTGTTGTTGTTGTTTTTTTAATCATAGAAATGTAGTGCACACTGTAACCATGGAGTTTATGTGTGTATGGTTGAGATTTAAGTAATTTTTAACTTCTCTTTGGAAAAAAAATCTGAATCTGCACCCATGCAGTAATGTAAGCAACAGTAATACAACTTCTCTTTAACTCAAAGTTTATAATCTTTTTTTTTTCTTTCATTCCTAAGCATGGATGGGACGTGGTTGATTCCAATGACTCTGCATCTCAGCGTCAGGAGGAGTTACCACCTCCTCCACTGCCTCCTGGATGGGAAGAAAAGGTTGACAACCTGGGGCGGACTTACTATGTCAACCATAACAACAGAACTACTCAATGGCATCGACCAAGTTTAATGTAAGTGGCAGTGTAGATAAATGTTTTACGGGTGAGTGAAAAATTATCTGTCAGGATAGTGATTTTTTTCCAACAAACATTATTGTTTTGGATTTGAATTCCAGGTTGGAAAAAGTTTAAGCACATTTTTTACAAAGCTGTTTGTAAAGGCATGCTTTTCTTTTGAGTAACAAACTAATTTTGATTCTGGTGCTAACTGCTACCTATCTGAAACTATGAGAAAATTTTCAGGTATTCTGGTAAATTGAGAACCAAAGTTTGCAGAGCTTCAGTTAAAAATGAAACATCTTTTTTAAAGAATATAAAGAGACTTCCCCACACCAAGCAAATCAGATATACACATAAGTATTCTGGGAAAATCTAGGGAATCTGAAGGTGGAAGAGAAATTAATATGTACCTTCACATATTGGGAGATAGACGAGGAATTTTTCAGTAAGTAATTTAAAAGGAATAAATTCCTCTGCAGGGACTGTTGAAAGGGTATTAAAAACAAACAAACAAACAAACAAAAAACAACACACAAGCATTTCAAGTCTATTAAGTTTTGATTGAGTTAAACTGATTGATTTTGAAGAGATCCTCTTTACTCTTCAGTGTGTAGACTTCATTGCTTATGTACGCTTGTGCTAATGTGCAGCTCCTGTTCAAACTTTCATTACACATTGCTTATAATTAGAGTTATAGTAGTGTAGCAAGTTTACATTTTAAATAGTATGTTTTAATCAAAAATGTTAAGAGTTATACTGAAATCATGCATTATTCAAACATCTTGCATTATTTTAGAGTAGCTACTATTCTTACACTATTGCTTCTAATAAGTGATGTTTGTTCCTTCTTGAATGTTCATATTCATAGTTAAATTACGCAAATGTGTGTTGTCTGTATTTATGGCACTGTTTGTTCTTTTTGTCTGATGTGTTTATCTTAGAATTTAATTAAATTTCATTCTGAAGGTTCTGAAATATTTTTGTAAATGCTGAGCTATTTACTACGCAGCTTTTACTTTTTCATCAACTACCACTGTTCTGGTTGGTAACAGTCCGTAAGCATCTATAAAAATTTAATTTTATAAATTATTTAATTTAGGACCTCCTTGTGTTCTGATTATGTTAAATGAAACAAGGAGTACATGGCTTCACAACTTTTTAACTGACAGATAACCAATTAGTCATGGCTAGAAAGCATCATCAGATGTGTATATAAAGTGGAGGCCTCAGTGTCTGCTACTATACTTTCAAGGTCACATGCATTTGTATTTTGAGTCTGGTTATCCTGGGTCACAATGAGTAATAATGGGCTAGTATGTTAGAGTGGGGACTTAATTTTTCTGTTGTGCCAACTTTGATGTGCAAAGAATGTTAATTTCCAGTATTACATGACATTTGTGAAGTGCTTCCAGTTTTATTTTATTTAAACTAAAGGATTAAACTGTTTCCTATTTATGAAGCCTGACATATGCAAGAGTAATGGATTTTATACTATAATCAAAAGCATTAATGAGGTTTTGGAAGCAATGGATGAAGAAGTAGGTGTTTTAGTTTAATATTCATTGTTTTCTTGTACTTTTCCCCTTCCTTCTTTCTTTTCCCCACTATCCAGTGATGTGGGATCTGATTCAGATAACAACATCAGACAAATAAACCAAGAAGCAGCCCATAGACGGTTTCGCTCTCGGAGACACATTAGTGAGGATTTGGAACCAGAACCTATGGAGAGCGGAGACATTCCTGAGGTATATAAAGGTCTTGCTTTTAAGAATTTAACTAAACTTCAAGCCAGAGTGTTTCTCCTTTGTAAGCTAATTAATATACAACATGCATAATATTTTATGGAAATTGCCTGAATTAAATATTAGTGACACAGCAAAAATCCTAGACAGAGCTATACTTTCAAGGTCATACGCGTTTGTGGGTGACTGGTAGTGTATGCACTATAAATACCATGTAAGTGCAAGGACAATCATTTATAATGCCAAGCATTGCTTGTTGTATATAAGTTGATAAAAACACTTTCAATATTCTGCTTTGAATAACAATGAAATGAGTCGTAAAAAGAAGTGAAATGTGCTGAATAGAATAGATGTTTGCTTCAGTGTTCTTTAGCATCTTGATTTAGAAGAAAGTGAAGCTGTTTTTTCTACCCTAAGTGCTTTGTTCTGTTTGAAACTCTGAGATCTTAGTAATCAGCATGTTTGTTTAATTTACAGCTAGACTAACTAAATGAAGTTTCATAAATATTTGTACACCTAGGTGAGCTTTTTGTGCAAAGCTTATAATCCCATTCAACCTTGAGGAATATTTTATTATGAGAATCACAGGCAAAATTCTTTGTGAAAGTTTTGATTCACTGAATGCTCTTCAGAGCAATAAAAAGATTGTGGAAGCTCTTACTGTGCTCATCATCCGTTAATATTTTATTTGCAGGTAGTTATGAGTATTATGCATTTTGTTCTAAATTAAAATTGAGAGTTGTTTCTTACAGGTTTTTAGTAAGAGTGCAGAATTAGTTAAATTTTGAACAAAAATTTCTAATAGATTTTATTTAGTGATAGCTGATTTTTATACATCTTTTCATTTGCATCTGTATTGAATCATAAAGCATTGTTTCATCACCACATTGAAGACAAGAAGAAAATCTTTTCCCTTTATACTGAAGATGTTTGTATGTATGTTCTATGGATTGGTTTATTTAATTAAATATTAAGGCTGATTATCACACCTGTGTTTGTCACAATCAGGTAGTCATCTGGAAGGCAAAGGAGACACTTGGTCTGTCTTTACAAACACTTAACTTAGTTCCTTTTCTTTTGTCAGCCTTGGGAAACCATTTCAGAGGAGGCAAGCGCAAGTGGAGATTCCTTAAGCTTGTCATTGCCACCACCTCCTGCATCACCAGTATCCCGTACCAGTCCTCAGGAGCTGTCTGAGGAACTGAGCAGAAGACTTCAGGTCACTCCTGATTCTAATGGGGAACAACTGAGTTCTTTGATTGTACGTGACACGCTGTTCTTTCTGAATACATCTCTATTACTGTAATCTTTTGTTAGTTCAAAGTAATCTGACTCATTTATATGGATGAGTAGTAATTGATGGTCTTAGGAAAAACTGAGCACACCGGTAAAAGTATCTTCAAAACAGCATCTTAGTTACATCATGGAACAAACTGCCTTGAAGAAGAGATTTTCTCAATTTAGGTTCAATATTTTTTTCTGTATGAGCTTAATTTAAGAGCCTGCTTCTGTTATCCTTAGTGTTTCTTTAGTTTTAGCTTTAGTGTTTCTATCCTGTTTCTTTAGTGAAGCAAAATACATCAAATAATACTAGAGAGTATCAGACTAGGCATTTACAAAGGAAAAAGGAAAGACACTGCTAATGCTGTTTCAATCATTGTCCACGTTATTATATGATAATTTTTCAAAAGTTTGCTGTACATCTTTATGTTAAAGGGTGTCTCTTCTTACATTAGGATTTTACAAACCCTTCATAGTTTACTGGATCAGCTGTTATAACACTAACAAAGGATTACAATTGAAAGTAGGCAGTTCTGGTAAAACGCTTCATGAGCTTGTTTTGCTTTTTCTCCCTTCCCCTTTCGCTTTCTTTCCCTCTTTGGGAAGAGGAAGACTTTAAGACTTTGGGCTACTATTCATAGTAATTCAATGTGAGAAAAACAAACCCCCATGTTTTAAGACATCTTAAATTACAGACATCTTTTTTTCTTTTCTTCAGCAAAGAGATCCTTCTTCAAGATTAAGATCTTGCAGCGTAACAGATACAGTCGCTGAACAGTCTCAATTATCTTTGGTAAGCAAAAACTAAGTTTTATTTCTTTCTTCTTGTTTCAACATTATCTGATTGTAAATAGTATCTTTTCCTAGATGAGTTCTAGTCAGATCTAGTTCAGTTACCAATATGGACAAATGACTATCCCAAATCATAATGAAAACCAAATTAATATCATCACAATTAGAAAGTAAAATGAGAAAGGCCATAAGAGAGGGAAAAAAGTGTCTGAAAAAGAGAAAAAAAAATGTGTCCTGTAAATTGTTTTTACTTGGAATATAGAAATACGTGTAACATTTAACAGGCTTAGTGTTTGCCTAGCTGTAGTTAAAACAAGCCTTTTAGTGATAGTCCTTGTACAATAGAACTGAATAGAATTGCGTGTTGGAATTTTTTCATCCAAGTGATTTAAGCATCAGCTTCTGCAATTTTGTTTAAGCAAGTCCTTCAAACAGGAAAAAAAAAAAAAAGCAAAGATAGTTTTGAAAAGAGTAAGATTCTCCTTCACTCTATAACTATGCACACCTTCCCTCTAATTCATAGTTATACCTATTTTATACTACAACAGAAGTATGAGGTTAGCAAAGGTGGTAAGCTGTAGAGAAACAACTTAAACTAGGATTGTGCAAATTATGCGTGTGAATAAAACTGCTCCAATTATTTCAAAACAATATAATACTTTAAACATTTTATTTTTTCTGGAGTTACATGTTCCAGGATTTTTTTTTTTTTTTTACAATTTTTATTAGGAATATATTACATATGAATCCACACATAAAAAAGATTACACAAATTTGCTGTGGAAATATTGAGTAAGTAGAGCGTTATTAGTATGTTCATTTTTAAAGCTGACGTCACTCCTTTGTTGTTTTTTTCCTGTTGCTATTGGGCAGACACTTAGAGTAACCACAGTATTTTTCTCTTTAATTTTTCATGTGTTCTCAAAGATTTTTAGTGTATCTACATTTGCTGCTTATATTTGCATGTCATAGCTATTATTCAAAGAAGCATTTCTGAAGTATTATCCACCTCTCTACTTTCTCCTCCGGACCAGCAATGGTGTGGTTTCCAGTATAATTCCTTCTTATCTGTCTTCTCTCCTTTCTAGAAGTTGATTCCTAATGAAGTCTGTTCCAGAGGTGGTCTACTTCTTAATTTACTATTGCCCTATGGAGTCTGGATTTCTTTAATTGGTGTAGTCAGATTGGGCCTTGTCATGATGTATCTTTCAGCTTACTATTGTAGAACACTCATTTCTCTAGCAGATGTTCAAAACAGCAGAACTGAAATCATTGCTCTATAAGAAGGATGTTTCCTGACCTTAATCTTTACTGAACTAATGATAATTTATCTTCTAGCAACTGAATCTATAATTTCTTTCTAAGTAAAGTGCTGTTCTTGACTTGACTGCATTAATTTTTACTGAAAATGTGAAACGCCAGTTTCATATTATCAGCCTGAGTTTTTCTGTGCACTCACTGATGACCAGATGTACTATTTTCTTTTTAAATACCATATTTTTGGGTGTAACATATAAAATTTGTATCTCAAATAAGAAAGAGGAAAATTAATCATGTTAAACTTAAACTAAGTGGTCTAATTATTGATAGAAATATTGAAAAAACAGAATTGGATACTTGAAATTAGTTCTTTTGGTATGAGATTCTGACTTGGTTACCAGTGATTGATGGGTTCATTTTTTCGCTATTATCTGAAACATTATTTCAATCTACTTGCTCTCTTTTAATAAATATGGGAGTATGGATGATTCCTTTTTCCTAAAGATGTAAGAGTAATCTGTGACCTTCATCACAAAGTATACTTATGTGTAACATTAATTATCATTTAACAGCAGAGTGGCCCATCTAGGAGAGCTCGTTCTTCAACTGTCACAGGTGGTGAGGAACCAACGGTAATAATACTCTTTATCAAACACTATCTGTAAATAAAATGTGGGTAGATTTAGGTCTTGTACCGTAATGAACATTTTTTCACAGAGATGCAATGTGTTAAATACAGCCTGAATCAATAGTTATATTTTTTTTTGTTTCAGATTTTCTCAAATAATACTGCAATTTCACTCTAATTCAATACTTGTCTATTATGAATAGATGCCAGAGTATTAACAGAGTGCACTAAGAAAATACCAGAAATTTCTAAAAAATGAGAGTCAATACCTAATTCTTTAAAAGCTGATGTTGAAATAATTGATTAGAGACATCAAATCAATTTATATGTAGCTTTGTTTTTAACTTGCCTCGTTTCCTTACTCTCCATTAGACTAATTCATTTTTATTCTTAAAGTTGATCTTAATGTGAGAACGGTGGAGGTACAATGGTATATCATTACAGCTCTTAATGGTCTTATTTACTGCCAGTTTTCATTTTCCAGTATTCATTCTTCAGTCCAAGTCTGAATTTTTATTTTGCTCATCCAATAAAATTATTGAAATGTTTTTCTGAAATAATTTTTCCACATAATAAAAGGAAAACAGATTCAGTTTATATTGGACTTTGCTGATATTTTAAAATGTTGATCTGAAGCAAATTTGTTTCATAGAAATCATTTTATAGTGACTGTAATACTTGGCTTTCATGAACATTTGCATTCCTAGATAATTTGCTTCAGGGAAAGAAATGTAATTCAGACTTGGCATGTTTCCTGTTTCTATATAGTAATGTCAGACCTTAATTTGGGCGTTGATGTATCATTCTGCAATACTGTATGTATTTACTGTTTTTTGAATTTCAGAATCAAAGGAGCATACTTTTATTTTGTTCCTGCAAACAGCAGATTTTTTTAGTGTCCTTGCAGAATCTGCTTGACTAGCTCATCATTAGTTAAAATGTACACTATATTGAATTGTAATGTAAAGAGTCTTCTTTTGACAGATGATCTTGTGTTAATTATATGTTTTAGAACAAAATATTAGTATTTTCTGCTAATAGCTAAGTTCAAACTACACTGACTCCCAATTAATATGATTATATCATATTTTTTTATGTAAATTTGTTGCAACTTACTATTGGGCATAACCAGCATGATTGTTCTCAATTAGTGTTATTTTGTGTGAGTTATTACCATCAAGCCTGTGTGTCCCAGATAGCCTTGTGTCCCAGATTTCAGGCATGGCCTCTGGTCTTTCTCGGAGGGTGATGGAGATAGGAAAGAGTCTGTTGATTTGAATTGTCAAAGCAAACTCTGGGGCCTGAGGTGGCTATTAAAGGGCATATTCAGGCAAACTAGCTTCAAGTACTTGATTTTGTCCACTTGTGGGTCCGAGTCTAAGCATTTAGATAGCTCATAAGATATCAGTAATCTAAATGTATTTTTTTTAACAATGTAAAAATGTTCCATCTGCATAGCGGACTTTTTATTTAGGTCAGTGACAGAGGATGAGTAAATTTGTTACTTGAGTGTCTGCAATGAAGTAGATGTTGATGTTTGTAGATAAATTGCAGGTTTGGGTAAATATAACTAAGGTTATAAAAGCACCATGGATTTACTTTTTAATGTTTGTTTGTTTGTTTTTTGTCTCCTTACCACATTCCTCTGTGAAAGGTGCATTGTAAAAATAGGCTGAGCAAAACATTAGGTAATGCATCATATATCCCAGCATCTCTGTTCTCATGACATTTTGGCTTTAATTTCAGAGGCAGTCTCCCCATGTTGTTTATTGAAGGCACCTGTTAAAAAGCACTCTTGTTTTGGGTAAAAGGGTCTTGATAAATCTCCTAAGTTGCCATTCTACCATGTAGAATATCTTTTACATTGGTATCTAATGTATGGAAAGGAGTTTGAAGGGCAAACTTTCTGTTTTGCAGATTGCATTCTGGTTTCATTAACCCACAATGACTAGTAAGGGGAAAGACTGCTGACAGCTGGATTTATTTTTGATAGAGTGTTAAAGAGAAAGGGAAGATCAGGTGGTACAGCTAGCGCATCTTTCTAGTATTTCTGTATTCTAGTAAGTCAAAGTTGATCATTTGCAGCATGCCATCATACAGCGCATAGAATGTTTAATGTTAGAACCCAGGCTATCAGTTACCTTAATTAAATAATTTTAAACTAAAACATGATCTGTGGACTGTATTCAGACCAATACCTGTTACCTTGTTGATCACTGGTTAATTAATAGCTTTGAAACTGTTAGAACAGTCTTGGGAAGGGTAGTCAGTCTCCTGTCAGCTCTTTGAACTAAGTGGAAAAACAGCAGTATTTCCAGCACTTGACTACTCAGGAAATTAATAAATCAGTCTCATAGTTCGTTTCAATGAGTATTACTTTGTTTTCTCATCTGTTTTCCTTTGCTTCCTATTTCCTGATGTGCTCCATCAGCTTTCTGATCCATCCATTATCTTTTCTAATTTCCATTCTTGATTATCTAGACAGTTCTCCAGCTCATTGTGTCTATTATGCCCTTCTGTTAAAAAGCAAATATATTGATTAACTTAGCAAAAGTCTTGGGAAGAGGTCTTAAGAATCAGAAGCAAGAACAAGAATTACAGTAAATTACTTTGCTGGAGCAAAGAATGTAGACTGTAGAAAAAGAATGTATCCTGAGTTTCAACAGGAGCCATTAGAAGCCTGAAGAGTTACCAAATCCTTCTGTGCAGTGCCATTCGCTTCTTTGATCTCTAGGTAGTAGTTTTCCACTGTATTAATATTTTAAATAGAAAGATCATACAGCAGAAGCCACTGTTTATTAGGACATTGAAAGAGTAATTTCTTTGGCTACTTTGTGATTAGCATGGTGAATAAACCTAAAAACCTAGAGAGACAGAGGTAGCTATCCATGTAAAGTTAGTTGTGGCTTAATGCATCCTATGGTCTTATAAGTTTTCATAGTAACTCGAAACGTGGATGATAGTTTAAGAAAAGAAAAGAAGTTGCAGAATGCATACATTTACAAATCTAAGTAAAATAAGGAAAAAACAGTGAAACTCTTACAGAATTTAAGATATTCATGAATAGATATTAAGTACTGTAGATCTTCAGAGGCTGCCTGGACTTGGTTCTGAGCAACTTGCTTGAAGTGTCCATGCTTAAGCAGAGGAGTTGGATCGTATGACCTCCAGAGGTCCCTTCCAACCTTACCCATTTTGTGTTTTTGTATTGAACTGAAAACTGGAATCATACTTAGCTGTCAGTTTTACAGGTTGATGTTGCATCTATTCTAGTAGTGCAGTTGTTAGTGATTTTTGTATATATATATTTTTTAAATCTGGCAAAATTTTTTCTTTTAAATGAATATAAATTCAACAATTAAAAATGTATTTGTGGTATTTCTTATGACTTTTAATTTCAGTCCTTTTAACCATTTATTCATCTTCCTTTTACTGTTTCATGGCTAAAAAACACATATCTTCTAGTGCATCAAACTCTGAGTTAAAGCAATTTGCTTTGCAATTTCACTTTGTTACAATTTTCTAGCTCACCACTTTCCATGTATTTCTTTAACAATACTGCCGTATATAACTTGATAGTGACTACTTCAGGTTTAAAATGAATTAAATATCAAATGTATAAAGACATAGAATAAAAATGAATGTTAACAAGCTACCAATCACAGTATTTTTTTATTATTATTGTTTTTAAAGTATCCAATATTATAGATAGTCATGTCAGATAAGAGCAAGAGCAAAAACGTATCCTGAATTTTCAGGAGACTGATCTCAATGTTTCTTTAAATGTTCAGGGCAGTAGAACGGTAAGGTAGGAGTAACACTTCCTCATCATGTGTTGGATTTTTAGTTTAATTACAAGGACTAGAAATGTTTATGTCAAAAATACTTAGTTATTTTTCCATCAAAATAATGGGCATCAGCACAGTTGTCACTTTATCAGGAAGACCCCTTTCTAAAACTAGAAAGTCTAGCAGTTGTTTTCTAACCTATGTGGAGGTATTTGGTAATCTCAAAGGCTGATTCTTCCCTTGGTTTTATTTTAAGATCATGTCAAAAAATTTTGAAGAGTCTTTTTTAAACATCTTCCATCTCTTAATAGCATGCACTGACTCATATTCCAACATCTTTTTTTTTTCCTTTGAGAGACCTCAGTGTTTTTAAGACCTCTTCTGCAATGGTGATTTGTTCTAACATTTGCCTCCTCAGCTGCTTTACCTTTTGTAAAAAAGTTTTTGGCTTCAACCTTTTACGCAACTTGTTTTATAACAATTGGTGCCTTTGGCACCATTATATGTATGTTTTCTTTAAAACTATGTATTTGTGGTGCAACATTTTAATTACAGAAAGCAACATCTCACTCTAAAATTTGGACTCTATTTTAGGGTATATCCTGAGTCTTCAGGACACCTGACCCTGAATGCAACATTTGTACCTAACAAAATATTTGGACTTTAGTTTTTATAGGTATAGTAGTTTGCTGCAACCAACTCAGGACAGCCTGTGATAGAGACAAGATCAGAACTTGAGAGATTTGACTAGACAGCGTGGTCACTTCAATTCTTACTTATCCACACTAATACAGGGGAAAAATTCAACCTTTCTAAGGAGGAATCATTAAAATGCAAAGTTCCTTTTCGTCAATATGTATAATGTACAAATTAAAATGTTTGAGGGCATATAAGCTTAGCTGGCTTTAGAACAAGATACTTCTAATACTTTTGCAAAAGTGAATCAAAAGATCTATTGTGAGAAAAGATGATTTGTGTCAAAGGGGCATGAAGAAGAGCTTATACTACATTAAATCTGAGGTCATGTTTTTTCATTTGTTGTTTTTTTAGAATGGTGTAAGTTAAAAAGTTCGCTTTAAAGAGCAGACATTTTTGTTGTTGTTGTTATTGAGTAACAATACGGTTATTTCTTGCTTGAACAGCCTTCAGTGGCCTATGTACATACTACACCAGGCTTACCTTCAGGCTGGGAAGAAAGAAAGGATGCAAAGGGCCGTACTTATTATGTCAATCATAACAATCGAACCACAACATGGACACGTCCCATTATGCAGGTATGAGAATCTGTTATATTGCTCAATTTAGATAGCAAACGCTTAGCATGTATTGAGTATAATTTCAGTTGAAGACTCTCTTCAGAACTTTAAAAAATAAATAAAAATCTATGCATTGTCATGACAACTCAGGATAATCATAAAAAAAAATTGCAATGCCTGGGATTTTTTTTTGTTACTTTTCTTAACTTTATTAAGGTACAGATTAAGTCGATGGCTACAATGGAAGGAATTTACAGAGAGTTACATAGTACTAATAAATAGAGGCAAACGCATTCTTAGGATTGAAATTGGAAGTTTGGTTGCTTGATTAATAATACTGTATATTGTTTGCCTTTCCAATGGAATTAAAATTAAATAATGTACTTGCTCTTTAAAATAGTATACTCAGTATTTAATAATAATAATAATAATAAATATTGATACTATATTTTAAATGTCCTAACTCTGGGTGAACCATGATCCTGACAACTAACTAACTCAGTTTTCCATCTGAACTAGCTTGCTGAAGATGGCATGGTTGGGTCAGCAGCAAGCAGCAACAACCACTTAAGCGAACCTCAGATCAGACGGCCTCGCAGCCTTAGTTCACCCACAGTAACTTTATCTGCTCCACTTGAGGTGAGAAACAGACTTATCAACAAATATCACTTCTGTGTGATTTCTCTCTCTGTGTCTTTATAACTTTCCTTTTTAGTTACTAATAGCAATTTTCCCCTATTGTTAATTTTATCATAATATGTTGCTGTTTTCTTGCAGTTTTCCATCTGGATCTTTATATTATACAATGGTATTACTTAACTTCTATTATTATTGAATGATATGAATGAATAGTCTGTCTTACATATGATAATTTGAGTTGGTCAGCTAAAACTAATTCTGTGCATTTCTGAAACATGGGCTGCTATGACTCCTCTCAAGTGCTACAGTTGTATAAGATCAGAAACATTTTTTTGAGTCAACATTTATTTTGATGGTGTTACCTTTGAAAATAATACATGCAATTTAGTTTGGATAATTTTGTAATTAAGATACTGATTCAATTTTGTATTCCTTGCCTTTCAAAAGGGTATTCAATGTATGAGTCTTTACAAATAATTTAGAATACTGTTATATGTTGTTCATTGCAACATATCAGAAGTAGAACTTACATGGCTAAGCAATCAAAGATGGTGTGTTTTTTACTTCTGAAAGTATGGTTAAACCTCACAAATCTATTAAACGTGGCAGTGTTGAGGAGAGCAAGTTCTTAAAAATTTCTTCTTTGAACTGAAAGTGTGGCACTTTATTTGTTCTTTCTCACCATCTCATTCCTAATTCTGTCTCTTTCTGACCTGGTCAAAATGTTGAAAATCTGTAATTTCAAAATGATATAAGGAGAGTAAACCTCCATTTATTTTAGGAACCTGTTTTAAGGTCATGTTTAAATGTTTTGTCTGAAATTTTAATTGAGAGATCCATTAAAAAGTGGATAATGTCACCTTAAATTTAGGATACTTTCCTGTTTAAAAATGAGATACATTGCACCGGGAAACACAAGGCAATGTTTGCATTTTTTTTCTCTGTAAAATGAAACATTGACATGTACAGGACAGCTTCAGTAAAAGATACAAACAAATGTAAATACTGCGGACATTATCATTGCCAAGAGAAGTGATAAAACATTGTGTCCTTTAAAACAAAAAGCATAGTAAGTTAGAAGTAGCTAATTAAGAGGAATTTAGCTAAGTTCTAGGAAATCAATTCCAGCACTTAATTCTAGAATGAATTACATCTGGAATGAAAAAAAATTGTGCTGTGAAATACGTTTTACTCAGTTTCCTGTATTAAGTGATATTTTGCAAATCTTTTTATCTTTCATTTTCTTCAGGGTATGAAGGACTCCCCTGTGCGCAGAGCAGTGAAGGACACCCTTTCCAATCCCCAGTCTCCACAGCCCTCGCCCTACAACTCTCCTAAACCACAACACAAAGTTGCACAAAGCTTCCTTCCTCCTGGCTGGGAGATGCGAATAGCGCCCAACGGCAGGCCCTTCTTCATTGATCATAATACTAAAACTACTACATGGGTAAGGAGAATTCTAGGTAATGAATTTTAAATTGTTTGCCATCTTTTAAATGTTTTCATCTTGACCAGTCTTTTTCTTTGTCTGGCATTTGTCTTGTCTTTAAGGTTCAAGTTCCATGGGATTTGTTAGCCTAATATTTCATAAAACTGATGTGGGGATCTGACTTGAGTCCTCCATGCAATGATGTACAGTAGCAATAGTTTTTAAGTATCCAATTTCATGTCATGCTTGTAGTGGTGCTCATTTCAGAGAAAGGAAACTTACTCGTACATATCCACTGAAAATAGATTTTGGAGGATTTACATATCATGCACAATGCAATAGTGTTTTGCATTTTGTATTTGACCTTTTTATACTTGACAAACTATTGCATATCAGTCTTTCGTGACCTATTTTGCTTGCCCCTTTTTACCTCATTCATTCATAAGTGTCGTATCTGTGCATTAATCAAAATGTAAGAAGCTCATTTGCATAATTTCCCAGCCTTTTTATGATAGGCTTATTTCTCATTAAGTTTTAAGAGCCAAAAATGTGCATATGAATCTAAATACCACTTAGGGGAATGCATGCGTTTGTAGGAAGAGGGCTTTAATTTTTAACCATATCTCTGCAAATAACACACTTAATGGAGTTAAGGACTTACCCTAACTACCTCTTAATATTTAAAAAATTCAAATTAAAAAATTTGAATCTTAATAAAATATGTGATACATGCAAATGCTAAATGTGTTGTCACTTTTATCTGTCACAACTTGATCTGTTGGATTTACAGTTCCATATATCTATTACAGGAAGATCCACGACTGAAATTTCCAGTGCATTTGAGATCAAAAGCTTCTTTGAACCCTAATGATTTGGGCCCCCTTCCTGTAAGTGACAATGTGTATGTATTTGAGTATATACCTGCTATCTTATAAAAACTGATCTATTACTGTAGTCATATATTGTATATAGACACATATGTTGATCTCATTGCTTTTATGGACTTATTAAAGCAATGTTTACGGATAGCACCAAAAACTTTGTTGTTATCTGTGAATCAGTCAGGCTTTTTGAAGCCAGTCCATAGTATTCTGAAGTGATTGAACATTTATTTGCTTATCTAAAGCTTGGAGCTTTGAAGAAACTTACCTTGGTTTTACCTCCATCTGTGTGATTTTAGGTAATTAACAGTTGCTTTAGAAAAAAAGAAACAGATAGTTCAAAGTGAACTTTGTTATTGTACCAGTGTATACTGGCATTCAGAAATCTAAATAAATTTTGTTTTTGAATGAAACTCCCGTATTCTGTAGGGAAAACCATGGTACTAACCTCGAAAGTTTTGTCATATTTGTGACTGATACGTAATACTGATTTACATGCATGTCAAATACAGAGTTTTGCTTTGTTTTTAAACAGCTGTGTTCTTAATGTCAGAGGATAATGCATGAAATCTGAAACTTTTTATAAAGTGCAAATTTTTACAGCATAGTGGTGGTTCATCCCATTGCCTTATATATATTAAATATGCTTTTGAGAAACGGTCATTGAAATTTTATTTACAACTCAGCTACTAGTTGTCACCAGTAGTCTCAGCATGTATTATGGACTTTGCAGACAGCTGTGCCATTAGAAAAGGTGACTGTCCCACTGTATAGGACGCGGCTGGTTATATTATCTTAAACAAATTGAATAATGTGTCTTTGATCCTACTGATTTTCATTGAAATGAGTTGCAGTTTACTTAGAAGAACTGCTCTGTCAGCAGACCAGAATGAGTGCTGCTTTTGGGCAACTGGTAACAAATTCTGCCTTTAATCTGGGGACAATAGCCTGTTACTGCCTATGATCAGACATCCACCTCTTAAACATCCTGAAATCTCCCTGCCCTGGTCTTGATTGGCAAAAAGTTTTGCCTTGTATTTAAATCAAGCTAGGCAACTTTTCAGGCCCAGTATCTCAAAACACTGATTACATCAAAAGCTATGTTCAGTTGAATGTATTTATTATGTTGAATGTTCTGATTACAACACAGAAGTAATGTGATTTTTCTTGAAGAAAACAGCTGTGGAAGTAGTTGTTCCTTTGTAATTTTTCAGATACATTGAGCATGCATTTATGTCCAAGGACATGCTCCTTAGATAAGGAGGTGCTGAACAGGAGAAACTTAGCCTTTTAATTGCAAGAGGTAAAATGTGCAATGAAGTCAGGGTAGCCTGACATACATCAGTGGAAGCGTATAATTAGTCACAGATTTAAACTCAATTAAACAAGCCATTTTTGACTGAGGTAAAAATCACAGAATCATTGAACGCTTTGAGTTGGAAGAGACTTGAAAGACCACCCACTTCCAACCCCCCTGCAATGAGTAGGGAAGCCTCCCACCAGACCAGGTCTCTCAAAGCCCCATCCAACCTGGCCTTGAACACCTCCAGGGATGAAGCATCCACAGCTCCTCTGGGCAACCTGTTCCACTGCCTCACCACCCTCATAGTTAAGAACTTCTTCCCAACGTCTAATCTGAATCTACCCTCTTTTAGTTTGAAATGCTACACTCCCTGATAAAGAGTATCCTCCCAGCATAATGGCTGCAGAATTTAGAAGGAGTTACTTAAAACATATTGAAATGAAATCATTTATTTTCTATATTGTATAGAAGGCTGAAGCTAGTGTATGGCAGACAGATGAAGTGAGTACTAGATTGGACATTGTTGCATGTGCTAGCACTGTGCAATTTGTTCTCCTTTCTATACAATAATTGTATGGAAAATGTGAAAAAGAGAATGGAAAAAAAGGCAAGAATTGAGGACTAGATTAGACGTTCTTATCCCATGCTATTAGGATTTATATAACTACAGTGAGTAACCCACAGGTGTTTCAGAAGTAGAACCAGAAATTCTCAAATCTAACAGATTATGGATAATCTATTCACTGTGATCATTTCCTCATAGTAGGAAACAGGTATAAACCCTGATGCAAGATGTTTCCACTTCAAAGCTTAAAAAAATATTTACTGTATTAGATGCAGTCACCTGGGTAAACAGCCAGTTCTTTGAATCTTGCTAGGTTTTTGTTCTTGGCACAATGCATCTGGTTTTGTGTGTTCTACTTGGCAAGCACCTTTCAGACAATTTAAGCAGGCATGGATAATGTATTGCTTTGTGCTGTTTGAGAGTGGTATTATTTCATGTATTTTCTCTTTTTTTTTTTCCCAATTCCAGCCTGGCTGGGAGGAAAGAATACATTTGGACGGAAGAACATTTTACATAGATCATAGTAAGTAAGCACTCAGGTACTACAGCAATTAGACAAAGGGAGGTAATAAATATTGAAGTGAAAGCTTTATAATTTTACTCTTCATTTAGGAAGCCAGGTGTTGATATGTGGAGACATTGATACCAGAGACTTAGTGCCCTCATACGGTACTGTATATTCACTGAAAGCTTGCTTTTAATTGGCTCATCAAGCTTTGTCCCTCTCTGACTTGTGAAGCATTAACATTTCTTCTTTGTGGTTTCTTTTGTTCTTGTTGATATTTTGGATTCTTTGTTGTTGTTGTTGATGATCCCATGGCTTTTTTGCACTTTAATAAATTAAAATACACACTAGGAATAGAAAATAAGATGAGAAAAGATCATATAGCCACAACTCCATATATAGGCAGTGGAGAAATTAGCACTGATAATACTCTTTCCTCTCCCTTGAGAAGGTCTTGTGGCAGTGCTGATTCTGATCTTATTTCCTATTTATAGCATGTTATATTGCACCCAGCCCATTAATATCTATTCAGTTTTGTTAGTGAAGTTCTAGTGTAAGTGATGTTTCATTGTAGATTTGTCTTATTACAGCATCTCAGAACTACTGTGTTAGTTTTTGTCATTGTTTGAAAATAAAGCAGCCCAGAAAGGGTTTTATTCCCTCACCCCCTTTTTTTAAAGACTTAATCTGAACTTTCTAATGAGGTATTACTACAGACTGTATAAGCTTCACAGAAATAGATAATTCACAAAACAATTGGAAGAGGGTATATTTGCTACATAAAACTTACAGAATTAAAATCTTAATACTGCCAAATATGCCTTATAGTTTGTTTTTCTTTCAGTATCAGTAACAATAAATGAGGTGCAAATCTGTAGTTGTATATATATAGTACGTTATTAAATCCCTATTTCTAAATCACTGTCTCCAAAAGTAATACCTATTTCAAAATCGCATACATACTTGTAAATAAAAAACAGAAACAGTACACTCATCAACAACAAGATTAGCCTTTTTCAAATATTATTATAGAATTATTCTTTATATCTTCTGTTATTGTTTCTGCCAAGAGTTATTTGGAAACTTAAATCTGGCAAATTACGGTAAACTGCTGCCACTGAACAGTCACAGAATAGAACTGTTATTTTAAAAATTTCTGTATAATTGTTGAATCTTCCTAGCTTTGAAAAGGTTTATTTATTTTGTCTCTAAAAGTAAATGGAGTGTCGAATAAATATATTTTCCAAACTAGTTTAATTTTTAGATAAAAATACATTTATTTGCACCTGAAATCTCTTTCTATTCCCTCTGTTGATTTAATTTTTCTTTCACCTTTTTAGATAGCAAACTTTATAAAAGTTTGTTGTTTTTTTTTTCCCCTGATGATGCTACTTGCTTCCAGCAAAAATCCTTTTTGTCTCATTGTGGTACCAAACTACTACAATTGCCAGGGGACTCTAGAAGCAGAGGTGATGCCAGTGATATTACAGTGGACATGTTGCAGCTCCATTGTGATAACATCGTGCTCAGTATTGAGTAAATGACTGCAATCAGCATTTGGTGTTCAGTCATTTGGCTTGAACAATCTCAATAGTAGCATTTGTTTCCACAGTTTTGGTAAGGAAGTACAATGACATTTGACCATAATGATAGGTTTATGACAGAGCCTGCTGGCTCTTAATTGTTTGATGAGAACTTGAGAACATACACTGAAATCAGCCATGCGTATGATAACTGTGCTCCCTCTAAACACGCAAGTCTCAGTAGCCCATTACTGTGACAAACTGGCCATCATTTTAGTCATTCTTAACTGAAGTGATTAGTTAAGATGCAACCGGTGTACTCAATTTCACTGTTAGAATACAAAAAGAATGTTGAAAGTATGAACTGATTCAGCTACTATTAATGTCTTGGTTCTCCAGATATATTTTGTAATTCTTATGCATAATTATTTAATACTTTTGTCCTATCAAAATACAGATAAAATAATTTAGGTAGTACTTGTAACATACTAATGTGAAAACATGATACTTTTCAGATTTTAAGTGTACACAGTCCTAATTTGTCCAATAGTAAATTCCTTTATATGTATATTTATCTTTATACATATATATATATGGTCTCTAGTTCTCTGCAATTGGCCTTAGCCAGCTGAGTCAACATTATTTACCATCCATAAACAAAGTAATATTCTCTATTCACATAGCATGTTTAAACTTCTGCATTTCCTAGGAGCCTTATAGGAAATTACGATCAACCTGTCAGAAGGTATCCTAAAGAAAAACACAAAGGCTTTCCAACCATATTCAGAATAGTTACCAGTGGTTCACTGACAGAGGAATGGATATTATTTAAGGGCATTTAAGCCCTGGAATAGTGTTTATGATATGAAGTCTCTATCACTGTAATATTCTGAAAAACAACTTAGACAAAGACTTACCAGTAACAGCATATGCTCTTAAACATATGCCACGGTAGTAAGAGAGAACTGACAAACTCTCTAAGTCATTTCCAGTTCTGTCTGATTTCATAGAAAATTACCACTATAATTTGCAGCTGTCAGTTTCAAGAAGGTATAAGAAATGAACTGGCAAACATTGTAGAACGCAATTTGACTGCACAGGTTGAAACGAGATGACAAGGGCCAGCTCAGGAGTCACGCTTTTAGGGCAGGCTGTGAAGTACATGGAGCTGTGAGTCTAACAAATTTCCTCCATAATTGCCATGAGCACTAAATAGACTTAACATGTAAAGGAAAATAAAAGAGTAATTTAATATTAAATTAACTGATAGATCAAAATTTCTTGAAATGTGCTTGTCATCTTTTTGAATTTTCTTAAGTAACATTTAATGAATGTCAGCTTTCAAAATCTAGTCCATGTTAAAATTAATTTGGGATGCTCAAAACTGATGTTTTTTGTTTTTGTTTTTTTTTCCAACTGTAGAAACATGGAAAATTTCTGTTTTAAAATAAGTGGGATTGGTTGTTTGCTTTTACCCATTGTGTCCTTAAAAACAATTTTCTTGAAATTTAGTGGTTTCATTCCCAAACATACAGTAATTACAAAACTTAAAATCTTGACTACCCTTTTAATATGCAGTTCATAAATCAAAGCAGTGCATGTAACTAACAGGTGTATTATTATTACTATTCCAGTGTAGGAAATAGATGATTTGAACCTTGCCATTGGAGATGGCATTTAGTTTGGTTTTTGGAGCATTGTCTTATTGTTGCAACATCATCATTTTGTTGTGATTCTGTTGTGTTCAGAATCTTGTGAGAAACAGTTGTCTGGAGGCAGGGAGAGTTTCACCATGGTCCTGTATAACTCACTGTATAACCATATAACGCTGCTGGTGCTCTTAAAAACTGTAGATGAAAAGAACTGAATTCTGTTGCCTTGTTGCCAAAATCTGCCTTGCCAAAACTGAACAATTTCTTATACCATAACTGTGTAATTTTTCCTCCCTTTACCAATCCTATAACCTTTTCATTAAAATAAGTGTCTAGGACTTTTTTTCCCAAAAATAGTCGTTATTCCTTCCCCTCCAAATTTAAATTCAGACTGTTTTAAAATTATTAAACCTTGCAGAATTTGAAATAAGTAAACTTAGTTTGTCATTTGACAAAGTTTTTGGGTTCCTTTACCTTTCAGGCATGAAATCTGTGTATTCCTAATATGTGTTGAATCCAAGACCATGTTTGAATAGAACATGTTTACTACTATGGGTGTTGAAATAAAACCAGTGTAGTTACACTGGATTATGTTGTAGTTTTGCATTTTTGTATGAGTGTTTTAACTAAACGGTGTGGTGGGGTTTTGATGGAGATGCGTGAATGCAGTCTTTTCTAACCCTGAAATACTAAGTTGTGGAAATGGTAGGGAAAACATCTGTAGGGAAAACAAAACAAAAAAAAACCAACACCATAAATTCATGGTGTGATAATCGAGAAGTAATGATATAATTTCTTCTGTTATTTACAGATAACAAAATTACCCAGTGGGAAGACCCCAGACTGCAGAACCCAGCGATTACGGGTCCAGTAAGTACTGCTATGGTTCTTTTTGCATGAAATGCTGTGACTCAGGTACTGTTAAGCAACAGGTCATGCCTGTTCTCCAGATGAGCTCAGACTGTTTGTTGAACAACCAAGGGACCAACCTCTGCCTTTTCCTGAGGGACACGGGAGGCTAAAGTATCTGCTTTTGTAAGACTCCAAGGGCAGGGGAAGTTGCTGCCATGCGCCACCCTGACAAGGTTCCCCCAAACCGATGCCCCTCTGTGGACCATCTTTATTGCTCCATTGTGTTCAAATAGTATATTTTTATTAAGCTGGGCATGAGGGGTGTCTGCTCTGATTCTTTGGTTGGAAGATTTTGTCAGTTTCAGACCAAATACTCCGTGCTGAATTCTAGATTGTAAGGTTTTAGGAACGTATATAGGAGAACTGTTCATATTTACCATTACCTGTGTCATTACCATCAAGACAATTCTATTGAGCTGAGACACTGAGCTGTTCATTTTGCATTTCTGGAAAATAAAAAGCTGTTACCACTCGATATGGAAAAGATGTGACTACTTTGTGGATTCTGAATGCAATAAAGGCAATAATCAGGCCTATCAAATTTAAGAGTCATAAAAAATCCTGCATATGAACTAAGCTTTCAGAAAAACAACTTTAGCAAAAACGAATGTGTTTAATTCAGTAACAGTTTTTTAAAACATTAAATATATGGAATGGTTCTTTGACCTTTTTATGCTGCTTTAGGCTACTTTGTGGTATTTCAAGTGATTGGATTTCCAACCTAAAGATGTTTCCAGGTAGAAATCTGCCAATAATACTTTTTAATTTGGCGTAAATGCTCAAGGATCTCAGACAGGCCACAGCAGATGAACTACTGGATGTTGTAATCCTAGTTGCTAGTGTTTAATTCCAGTTCCTTGTGTTTATGAACAAGGTTGATAATAGTCACGTGTTTGAACGTAATTGCTGTTGTACTGATGTACCCATTTAACATGCACATAATGCTTGAGATACTAGTATGCAATGTTACACAAATTCTTCTACTTATGTTCCCAGAAACCATGAGCATAGATGAGAGAGTCTGTTTGGGGGATATTTGTTTCAAGATAATCAGGGTCAATCCTGACCAAATTAAGGAAACAACAGTATTATTTTATTTTTAAGAAAAAGCAAGATTAGATCCGTTTTGCAGTCATATACCCATTAAGCATTCATCTTAGTGCCTTTAACAGTATTTTTGGTGCTATGACAAAAACAAAGAAGTACGTAAATTGCATTTCACATTGTGTTCAAACAATGATAACATGTCAAAAGATTCTTTAACGGCTGTGGTAAAGTCATATTATCATCAGAGTAAAATGATTTAATATGTGTGGTTTTTTTATTAACTTTTCATGTCTTATCTTTCACAAGAGAAAGATTATATAGAAATATTTCTGTCTTACGCTCTCACATACATGAGTTTACTTCAAGACCAGCCCTCTCACTGAAAACCCACTCTTCCCTCAGATCTGAACTTGAACCAGAGCTTTGCAGTTTGTGATTCATCTTTCAAGGAATAGAAAATGTAATTTTTAAATCCATAAATCCATATTCTTTGGTAACAACAGTTTCACGACCAGGTTAGATGAGGCCCTAAGCAACATGATCGAGTGGGCGGCATCCCTGCCCATGGCAGGGGGGTTGGAACTAGATCATCTTTGAGGTCCCTTCCAACCCAGGCCATTCTATGATTCTGCAAAAAGTAATTTTAAAAAATATAATGTGGCATGCTTATCATTTCCTAGTGAAAAGCATAGTTGGCAGCACTGCATTCTAATCTCTTTTTCTCTGTGTTAAAAAATGTTTTTGTTTTTTCTGCTCCTAAAATAAGAAAAAAAATGAGGGTAAGTACTTGTTTAAAAAAATGGCTAAACGTTTTGATACCTTTTAACTGAACTTACACACTGAGAAATGGGAAGATTTTGGGTTCTGTATTTCATGCATACTGTTGGGGTTTTTTTTACATGAACCTATGGCATACGTATCTAGGTAGTCTTCAACTTTAGTTTTCATTTGTTTAAATAATATTGGAATATCAATTTGTTAAATACCTGGAATAATCTGTGTTTATGATTCTCTCTCTGATAGGCAGTTCCATATTCTAGGGAGTTCAAACAGAAATATGACTATTTCCGGAAGAAGTTAAAGAAACCCGTGAGTATAATAGCCATGCTGCTTTGTGTTGAAGCCAGTTATGTTATGTCTGGGGAGAAAAAATTAAATATCCCAGGGGTAGATACAGAATGGTGTTTCATGCTATAACAAATTTGTTGTTTTTTCTTGTTTGTCTTGTTCCTTAAAAGAGTTAAGTAGAAACCCAGAAAATGAAGAAAAGTTTGAATTTGATCGATGGATTTCTCAACAACAGCATTTACAGATCTTTAAGATTTGCACTTTCTAATATGAATGGAAAGTAAGAGTGATGAGATAACAAGCGGTGATTCACTGTTTTCCATTCTAACTGAGTCTAATTTTTACGTTAGTTTAAGAGACTTTAGATTGAAAATAGGCTAGAGGATTGGTATTTCCCTTTGTCTTCAACAGTAGGTTTGGAAAGACAGAGCTGGAACAAACTGGCAGAGCAGAGCCCACAGTATTACTGCATCTGGCACAAGCTTCTCACATTCATGTTCTGTAAAAATAACTTCTTTAACTTAAGAGAATGCAAGTTATTAGCATGCATGTGATATTGACTTGTAATTGACAGCAAACAGCCTTGGCAGCATCAACTCTAATATGAAGAGGGACTCACCAATGTCTTTATGGGATTGTTATAGTTCCTTGAATTTGCACCTTGAGCTTGACTTGTGACTGTACACAATAAGTACTTTAATTGTCAGGAAAAAGCAAACCTCCTGAAATGCTTGTTTCAAGTCAATTTTATCAGGAAAACTGTACCTGACTGTAAGGGTCATATTTATCTGTTCATCTTCTGCTTCTTCAAATACTTTACACAATTCTCTTCTGTCTTTTCTGAATTCATCTCCCTGGGCTTTCATAATGGGTGTTAGTGTTCTCTTTTTTCGGACAGAAATTCTTAAATATTTTGGCAGCCCTGTTCTGCTTACATCTTGGTAATTCAATACTGTTTTATGTGTAGTACTGTTGGTGTTCTTAACGGTGAAACAGTTCTGGCCTTTACAGATATTTGAGTGAAAGGGTTGCATAAAGCTTGTGTGTTTTTTAACATGTTAAGCTAAAATGACCTTTAAATAGAGCGTGGTAATATCAACAATTCTTACTTTTGTTGTTGTTGTTGCTTTTCTTGTTGTTTTCATTATTTTATCAAATATCATAGAAATCTCTGAACCCCACTAGTGGAACTTACCCAGTTCACCATAATGTATCAACCTGTGGACTTAGAGAGCATTGGAAAACAAGAATAAAGGAAACTTGGTACACTCAGATGTCTAATCTGTCCTTTAGTTTTAAGCGTACGATCAGTAATTTCCCTGAAGACTAATTTATTGAGACTAATTGATCTCCTTTCACACAGGCCGATATACCAAATAGATTTGAGATGAAGCTACACAGAAATAATATTTTTGAGGAGTCCTACAGAAGAATCATGTCTGTGAAGAGACCTGATGTACTAAAAGCCAGGCTCTGGATTGAATTTGAGTCAGAAAAAGGACTTGACTATGGAGGCGTGGCCAGAGAATGGTTTTTTCTCTTGTCCAAGGAGATGTTCAACCCTTATTATGGTCTTTTTGAATATTCAGCAACGTAAGTATCCATTATAATATTCTCATTCGTAAGCAATATATGTTAGATTTTGAGTAAAATGGAAAGTTACATTGGAGAGTAGTTAGATCATCCTTCATGATACATGAATTTGTACTCCTATCAGTCACATCTCTCTGTTCTGCATTATCATTTATCATTTCCTTTTCCAAGAAACTTTAAATTTGTTGTTGAAATCTCATAAAACATTCTTATTGCTAAAATAGTATTTGATGTTGCCTTGCTTGCAACAATAGTAGATTCCATTTTTGAGGCTAGCAATAGTAAGAGGATTGATGCTAGACAAGACGTTTTAATGTCCTCCCAGTGCATTGTAAAGCACCTGCCTTCCAGAATTAGTGTTCTTTGTAATTAGTTCATAAAACAGCTTCTCATTTACATTTCAGTAGTCATACAGTACTGGCTTTGCGTGAATTTAAATGTATTTTTGTCCAATTTTAAACCCCCTGAGTGTTGCATTAGTAAACGAGAGAGCAAGTCTCTTGCTTAAATTACATCTGTTTTGGTCTACTTATGTAATTCCACATTGTGCACTTAGCCACAGTAAGGATGGATTTCTTAATTGCGAGCAGCAGTTTTTATGTTTTCATGCCAATATCAAACTTGCTCCTTTCTTTAATGAGCATTGAATAAATTGTAAAGTAGATGAACAAAGGCTGTATAATGAGGGTTTTGTTGCATTTGTTTCTCAGAAAATACACGTTTTGTTTTTGGAGGAAAACATAGCTTTCAGAATATTGACTAGTTCAGAATGCCTTTGTGTTAGTAGAATTCACTGGATAAACATTTGTTTTGAAATATTACTACTGCTTATGTGATAAAAAATATCACTACAATCACTTTAAAAACAACATTATTTTCATTCGAGGTTCAATTTGATGGAAAGGTATATTTTAAATTGTAAGCATTCACTCTAGAGTGAGACTTCCTATCAACGGCAAAGACAAATAAAACTTTACTAGAGACAGCCTGTATATAGCTGATGTTTCTGGGAGTAGTATTTAATTAATTCTGGGAAATACATACACATCTGAAAATTAAACATTACCACTCATGGTTATTCATTAACTCGTTAATACAACATTTTATAGTTTTAAGTCCCATTGATTTTATTTAGATAATCAGAATATAAAATAGGATTTAGTTGGGATTTTTAGGAATCTATTAGTGTACTAGAAAGTTTGAAATAGAAATGTCTTGGGAAACTGGAAGTTACCAGCTTGGACTTTGCACACTGTTCGTATCTTAGCGGTTGAACCTGGTTTATTCAAAGAAAATATTCTGAACAATCTGTGTTTTGGATTTAGGATGAGAATAGTACTGATAACGCACCGATGGTTTCAATCTGCTTTTTTCTTTCCCCAAAATAGGGACAACTATACACTTCAGATTAATCCTAATTCAGGTCTTTGTAATGAAGATCATCTTTCATATTTTACATTTATTGGACGGGTTGCTGGTCTGGCAGTATATCATGGGAAGCTATTAGATGGTGAGTTACTATACTGTATTGCTAAGCTACTCTTACTGGATTTTTTTTTTAATGAAATTAATCACTTCAATAATTCATATGCTTTAGAATGTAGTATATCTTGAAACAAAGTCTAAGAGATTAAAGTAATGGAACTGGAAGCTTTGGAAATTGCATTCCTGTTTTGAATGGTGGTTTTGGTAAAATGATAGTGTCTTGCTCAACAAATATGTTTCATATAAAGTTTTGTTCCTCTGTCCACTCCTGTTAACCCTAGAGAATCTCCATTTTCAAATAATCTCTATCCTGAAGAAAAATCACTAAGTTTGTATCAGCAACTTACATGCAAACCAGCTGAAGCCAAAGCAGTTGCTTGTCAATTGCAGCATGAATTTTTCTATAAAATTATTTCTCGTTGATTGAACGAGTAAATAAAACGATTGATTGAATGAGTAAATAATTTTTTTGCTCAACTTTGGAATCCCAGAATATCCAAGCAAGCAACCATTATAAACTGCCTATATGTTATTTAAAGACAGTGCAGCCCAACAACAGATGAAGCTCATGGTCCTGTTTTTCTAGTATCTCCTTTGAGAGAAGAATGGCGATTTTAAGTGGATTAGAGTATCTTGAGCGCAATTCTCTATCTTCAGGGTCTCTACCATGTAACTAACATTGGCATAATTCTTGTAATTGAAAAATTGGGCTTGCCAAATCTAAATAAAAAATGGGTCTGCTGTGTTAACTTGAGCAGTTACAGCACTGTTCCTTGCAGGATATTTCTTTCCCACAGACACAGTGAGAAATAGCATGGTGTTTCATCCTTTAGCAGTCATATCTTTATGTAAGGTGAAAATGCAGAATAGCAGAGGTAACGCTTTTCCCTCTGTTTTAGGCTTCTTCATCAGACCTTTTTACAAGATGATGTTGGGGAAACCAATAACTCTAAAAGACATGGAATCAGTGGTAAGATAACATTTGAAACTTATCAGCATTAGTAATTATTTGATTTTTTTTTCGTCTGGGAAACATTATAAGAGCTAATAGTTCCAGTAAAGTGCATGGTGGAAAACACAAGGTTATGGTTTTAAGAACTTGAGAATGGTATGTACTTATTTTTTTAATAAAACAAATTTTCCCTGCCACATCAGCAGTTTCAGGACCAGTGCATTTAGAGCAGTTAGGATTGAGGGAGAAGAGGCATGAATAGGCCAGTAAGAGACGCAATACAGAATGATTCGCAGTTGTGTTTTTGCATTTTCCACTGAGTCAGCTGTCTCCCTGTTGTGAGCAACACTAGCAAGAGGCCCTGTTTTTCCCTTCTTTTTTCCCTTCTTTTCATACTGTGGAGCAGGATGAGGTGGATGAAAGGACATAGTTCTGACCTGGTAGCGTGGGAAGTTGTCCACAGTAGCGGAAGAAGGGGTTGCCAAATGATCAACGGTTTTCCCACAAAGAGACAATGAATGCAGCAGTACTTATGCCCTGGTATACATGTAGGCTTTGGTTTTGTTCTCTGCACTTCATCTACTTCCACTTCTTCAACATGAATTGCAATCAAGTACTTTTGTGTTCATTTCTTCCTGGGAGAAAAAATAACTGCTTTATGTGTTAGTAATCTCTAACTTTGCATTTTAAAATGAAGGAGCACAGCAAACAGGATTGTGTAGATGCCCAATCGAGACATGTCCACTGCACCAGTACTGAAATACAGTACACTTCAGATGTATACAATAGCTAAATGTAAAAGGTTTCCTTGAAGTTAGTAGGATGATACCCTTCTTGTCTTCTTAATGTTTTCTACATAATAAAGATACAACCTGTTCAGGAATTTAGAGGGGATTTTTTATTCAGCAAATTTCAAGAGGTTTTAATAACAACAATATAATCAGTAATTGTATAATATATTGTTGATGTAATGAAGCAGTACATAAATAGTGTTGAGAAGAACAGCTTTATCTAGAAGACATTCTCTAGCCAATTAGTACAGTCAATCTATTGTATTGTATAATAAAGTTACAAGTCAATTAAGGAGAGTTACACATACCTAAAAATATAGCATCTAAAAAATGCAAATGAATAAGGTAATTCATCTTTACGCTGCTTTATAGTAGCTATACAAATAAAAAGGTTCCCATCCTTCCAACCCCTTTGGAGTTCTAATTTTAGATGTTTTTATTTGTTTATTTTAAAATTAAATTGCATATTTAATGTTTATATATTCCAACTTTGCTTAATTTCAATCTCCTGTAGGATAGTGAATACTACAACTCTTTGAAGTGGATCCTGGAAAATGACCCTACAGAGCTAGATCTCATGTTTTGCATAGATGAGGAAAACTTCGGACAGGTATGTAAAGATTAACCCAAAAGTCTGTACATCCATCCTACTGGTTATTGCCAAAAGCCAGCATCACGTGCTTGTGGACCTGATCGGGACTGAAATAAGGAGTAATAAAGGTGTTACAGAATCTTTATTGGAAAATTGTCTCAGCTTAGGACTGTTTGGGGCCTATAGGTATAGGTGAAGATGTTCTCAAAAGACAAAATAAATAGTAGAATGATAATCAGTGAAGTGCATGACGAGTGACGCATAATTTAAAAAAAAATAAATGTTCATAAGTGTTTATGCTTTTGGGGACACTTTACAAACTGCTTTTATAAATAGCTGCAGGTTGAGGATCATAGATTTGTTTCTTAGCTTACCTTATTATATCTCTGCATGTTGTTTCTATGTATCAGGGGTTGCAGATTAAGTAATGGCATTTATGATTTCTTTTGTCTTGAATATAACATTTTTCCATGTTTTCATAGTATGTGTGGGGTTGTTGGGGAAGTTCCCGACAATAGCCAGAATATTTGACTTTCCTTCTCTCTTTTCCTTTAATGAAAAATGCTCCCAAGTGCCCATTCTTTTTAAAAAATGAAATCTTGTGCCTACAATGTATGTAAACACCGGCATCTGCATTCAGAAATATCCTTCCCCATAGCTGCACTACTGAGCACATGGTTTGGTAGCTCTTTTGTGTAAGCATTAACTGGTAAAAAAAGTTAGCAACTTCTGGCTTTCATGGAACCTAAGTCTGCATTAATTCTGTTGAATTTCTGCTGATAAATTACTTTCACCAAAAATTGAATGTATTATTTGGTCTTGTAGTTTCTTGTGAACTGTAATGAATCTGTTTGTTTCCATCTTATGCTCATATGATGGTTGTGCTCACCATTCTCAACAAATCTGCGTTTAAACATTTCTGTAATGCATTTTTCTACTTTGCTTATTTGTCCTTTTAACAGAAGAATTTCTCTCTGGATTTTAAATGGTATTTTTTTTCAAACATTTTGAAGAGTTAGAAGACATTTTTCTATCCTTATGAAAATGAAGTATGTGTTTTCTTTACCCAAATGAACCTGCTGTTCAGGACTAGAATTTTGAAAATAATTCATTCTTAAGAGTGATCACAGAATAATTTGTTCGTAATGATTCCATCTTTAGATGTGAAATACTATGATGGCTCATTAGCTATTACAGTATAATAGTTTTCTAGTACTACTTGTAAAATGCTGCTCAAGGGCAGTGGATTTCATGAGAAACGTGTCCTGAAATAATGTCATCTTTTGTTGTTGTGGTTTTTTTTTTCTTCTTTAAAATATAGACGTATCAAGTTGACCTGAAGCCAAATGGGTCAGAAATCATGGTAACAAATGAAAACAAAAGGGAATACATTGAGTAAGTATATATTTATGGAATTTATCTGGAGTGTAACAATACACAGTAGTACTGGTTTGAAATTCACCCTACTGTAATTATTGTAGTGCAATAAATCATCAGACATCCCTTCTAAAAGAAAATCCTTTTGTTAACATAGTTTGTTTACACTTGATCCTTAGAAAGTTTAGATTTTAACCTTTATTGTTGTATGATTTAACTAATCAAGGTAGTCTATGATGTAACAGGAAACAGTATCTTCTTGATGATGTGTAGGCATGAGGAATATTCAAGAAGAGATGGCATTTCTCTGAATTATTATTATTATTGCAGACATCTACATCTAAATTACTCACCAATTACTCTAAGCTGAAACTTCACCCTTCACAATTGATGAAATTGTGAAAAAAATGGCACTTCTTGGATATAGTAATTATCATGTTAAAGCAGGCATATGAATTTGGCCTGCTTCTGTGCATTGACTACACCGAAGTGCCTAGGGTTAACTATGTCAGCTTCGCAGAGCTCCTAATGGGAGTGAGTTTCTACCCTGGAATTTTGTTTTTCCTGATGAACTGCTGTCACAGAATACAAAACAAGAGTAAAGGCAGATCTGGACAGCAAACTAATTCTGGAGAAAAGAATGCAAATAGGATGTCTGTCTAATTTAGTTTCCTTAGCATCAAAGTATTGTTGGGAGATGCTTGAAGAGAAACGGAAACTGTTAAGGTTGCTAATTAAGTCTAAAGTCTTCTAATGAATGTGTTCATGTTTTTATTTAACTACTATAGTCTGGTCATCCAGTGGAGGTTTGTCAACAGAGTTCAAAAACAAATGAATGCTTTTTTGGAGGTAAAGTACTTTTTTTCCGTTCTACCCACATAATACATATATATTTTTATGTAGACTTCTCATATATCTGTATCTCATTAAGGGAGTGAGAAGCTTTGCATGACTGCACAAGTTCTGGAATGCTTACATATAATGGTTTCACAGTTCTCCTTTTATAAGATTATTCTCTTTCAAGTTTAAATTACTTGAGTTTGAAATAATCTAGTGATTAATTTTTAAATTAGAGATTCATTAATACTCAGGAACCATGTATTTCATTTTCAAAATCCTTCTTTGTTGTCTGTCATTTAATTAACTAGTGGCTTTCCCTGAAGCCAAGACCCGTAGATAAAAAACTTAGTGTTACATATTGTGCTAATATCACCCTTATTTTGCTTTCTCTTAGGGATTCACAGAACTTCTTCCTATTGACCTGATTAAAATTTTTGATGAAAATGAACTAGAGGTGAGTTTGTGTAACTGATGTCCAGAGACAATAAACCAGATCAATCTCATTGCAAAAGATATGTTATATCCTGAAGTCACTAGATCTTCAGTGAATTAGGAGACAAAGATGCTTTACTTATAGTGAGAAATGAGAACTTTTTCCCTAAAAAAATAATAAACCTATTGATAAAGTAAAAGTACAAAAATATTATTTACTCAATGAGGTGGTTGAGTATGTTGATATGTAAAGCATGCAAGTAACTTACTGAGTTAATGTTGTTATGCTTATACCCGTCATATTTTGAGCAAAATACTATAAAAGATGCTGTCACGTGAAGCACATGTGCTTCATATTGTACAGTGTTTCTTCAGGAAAGTGAGATATTCTTTGAGAACTCTCTTGAAGAGGAGCTCAGCTCTCCTTTGTGTCTGCATTTATATTTGCACCACTTAGCTGTTTAAGAGGTCAAATAACAGAGGGAGAGCTTAATCTTGTTTTTCTGTTAAAGTGCACAGGATAATACTAATACCATCTTCAGTTAACACCCTAATGATTACTTCTGTATACAGTTACTGATGTGTGGCCTTGGCGATGTTGATGTTAATGACTGGAGGCAACACACAATCTACAAAAACGGTTACTGCCCAAATCATCCTGTTATCCAGTGGTTCTGGAAGGTAATACTCTTATCACATTTCACTTCTGTGGCTATTCCTAAAAGTCAAAGCTACCTTACTGTGTTGCAGTTTGTTTGTTTCTGCCTTTTTAAAATCATTGTCATGATGATGTAAGACTATGTAATTGTACCAACAATCATTATGATATAGTGATGTTTCACTAACCCAAACAGTGTTATGGTCCTAAGAGATCCTGTCGTAGTGCAACACTGATTCTTCTTTGAAACTGCATTCCTCTGCCTGATGTTTAAGGTTTTTCTGCCATCTCTGTTTCTCTATTCTCCCTGCTAGGTATATTTATAAATTATCACATGCCACCAGGCAGGTACAGGTCATAGATGGTATGAAAAAGCAAGTCACCTCAAAGGTGAACAGCAGTTGTAGCTTCCAGCTGCTGCCAGGGTATCGTCTCTTTGTTGTGGCCTGAGGACAGTTGGAAAAGGATGCCTCTGGTTTAACCAGAGAAATGGCCTGCTACCTCTATGCCCCCCTTCAAAGTTACATGTCTGTTTATTACAGTCTAATACAAATAGATAATGTACTCAGGTTTGGGTTGGTTTTTGCTTAACAGCAACATGTACAGCTGTGAAAGTGACTCTTTCTTTCTCAATAGGCTGTTTTACTGATGGATGCTGAAAAACGGATTCGATTACTGCAGTTTGTTACTGGGACGTCACGCGTGCCTATGAATGGATTTGCTGAACTTTATGGTAAGCTTCCTTTCAGCTGCCCACCCATTATGCTCACCTTTAGAATGACTATACAGACCGCTTCTGAACTTCCACAGGAAAGCCTGGGCATTAATGAAATATAGGTATAGTCAACCTTTACTCCCACATAAGATTTCTTCTAGATTCCACCAGCCCTGGAGTACTTGGGGGGCACCTTGAGAAGTAAAAGTTTTTGTGCACAGTGGGTGTTGTGTAGACATTCTCCTTGCTAAGGAATGAATCAACTCCCCAAAGAAGAGTTCAGCTATCAACAACAATAATATTCACAGCACATGAAGAAGAGGAGACTGCAAGTTTATCCAAGAATGCTATTTTTTTCCAGTGTTAATATTTGAGCTTATTTCATTGGCATTATACATACTCTATGCAAAGGTAGCAAGGTAAACTTAAGCTAACTATTTATTTGCAAATAAGTATCTGCATTCCTATTTACTTTAATGTAATTTTGATTGAGGGAATTTGTACCAGGTATTCTATACCAGTTGAAAACTTAGCCTTAAGGAAAACTTAATTTGTGCAAACATATAATTTTTAAAATAGCATTTAGGTAGTTTCTGTAATGTCCAGTAATTTAAAATTTCCTATTTTTCATTTTCATCCAGGTTCAAATGGTCCTCAGCTGTTTACAATAGAGCAATGGGGAACTCCTGATAAACTGCCCAGAGCTCACACATGGTAAGTCATAAAAGCATAAAATTATTGCTTTTCTGTATTGTTATAGGGCCAGGAAAGGGGAGAGAGTGATGTCTGTGCCTATTTCAAATACATTTTAGCTTGGGACAATACCGTGTGTGTGTGTGCATGTATTTATTAAAAGGCAAAGAAAAGTTAGTACTTATCTGCTGACACAGTTGCAGAATGTGTTCCAGGAAGTAGCAAGGTTCAACTTCAGTAGCTTGCCATTGCTTCTGACAGTCTCTGAAGAATGCTTGGTTTAGCCTTCACGTGCACACATGAAAGATAAAAGCCTCTGTTAATAAAGTAGTTGTAGGTGTTCTGCAATAAATGTAGGTAAAGGAATCCACAAGAAACTCATTACAGCTTAGCCTTTTTGATAACAATTTTTAAATGGTATTTTAATTTACTCTAAGTAACCCTTGCAACTCTGGACATTTCTTCTGATAACTGCTTTTGCACTAAAATGCATGTTAGAAGAGCTAGCTTTTCCCCATAGGCTTTCTAAGGTAAATTTACTTGTGCTGCATAGAAAAGCTAGTGTTTAGAACATGGCACTCTTTCAGTTAAGAGAGAGTTATAGAATAAAAAATATTATTAAGAAAAAATACATTCCAAAAAATCAACTCTCATCTCAATTACCTGTTAAATTGTACATGACTTTTTAAAGGAGCTTCTTTGGAGTTTTTAATATTATTTTTCAGAACATCTTTGCTAATCCCTAGGAAAACAGACTTTTGACAGGTTGACAAAAGCTGAAATATTTTCAATCTAACAATTATCATTTTTTAATCTTTTTTTATGGGGGAAGATAGGGAGGGCATTAACAACTTCCCATTTTCAGTTCTGGAAAGAAGAAATGTAGTTATTTCTGAAAACTCACCACAGTACAGGCACAATTGTCTTCAGATGCTATAATCAGGGAACACCAAGCATCAGTTATATTTGCAGAGGATACTGCAGAGATTGTGTGTGTTTGGTCAAAAACATATGGTCCATTATTAAGGCCCCCAAGTTATGTGGCCTTTTCTATTTCTTCAAAAATCTCGTATGTTTTTCAATGGATTTTTTTTTCCTTCTGAATTTCAGCTTTAATCGCCTTGACTTACCTCTTTATGAATCTTTTGAAGATTTGCGAGAGAAGCTACTTATGGCAGTTGAAAATGCTCAAGGATTTGAAGGAGTGGATTAAAACAAACACTTTTTTCCCCCCATTCAAGCAAGTTCTGCTGCACTTTTGCATTTGCCTAATGGACTCTTGAGTGACTATGGCAGAACAGTTGCACAACGTTGGTTCATGGAGCAAACCCTTCGACAGTGCAGTTGCCTAAATCCAGAATTTTGAACTATAACCTGTGGATGGCTTTTTGATGTTTCCACAGCAGATTACCAACTGGTTAACTTGTACTCTGATTACATTTCAGCAGGACTTACTCTATTTATGTTGTGCCTCTGTAGGCAAAGCCCTTAATAAATATTTTACATAATTTCTAATGACAATGAATGGAATTAATCATTTTACAGGTATAGTATTACAACTCATGTTTACTTTTTAATTCATTTAGACATTTTCAGATTATATTTCATTACAATTAAATATCATGTACTTGGAAAAAAATGAGCATTTTTCTTAATTTCATACAAGACTTGATGCCAGTGTCCTTTTTTCAAAGCACATGTTGAGCCTTGTGTTCCCAAACCATTAAGAAAATAGGAGAAAGCTATGTTGGGAATTTTCTCTATATTGGCTACATCAAGAGTAACTGTTTTCATTGAGCATATAAATATTTTTCCGTATCCAGAAAATGTATGGATTCAATGTTGCATTTTTGTATAAATAATAGAATAGTTATGAGTCAAGAGAGAATCATAACATAGCATGCCAAATCTCATGTTCAATGAAAAAATTGCCTCATTATTCCTTGATAATATTTACATGTACTATAAAACATTTTGGGGTAGGGTTGGCATTAATCATTTTAGGAAAATATGCTTAACCCTGTCATTATCTTTGTATAGTGATTCTTTTATTATTTTTTCCTCTTTACTGTTTGCAATGGAGGCATTTTGAAAGAAACCTGGCACTATGTGATTTGGCACTACGGAAAACAGATCTGTTTTGTCTCCTGTTTGTAAGCATTTGCTAATGATATCTAAATAACAATTTTTTTTGTTTGTTTCTAACTGCACCAACTCTAAAGGCACTTTATGTAACACATGGAAGTCATATCTGTTTTTTATCATAAACATTAATGTGATTATATTCCTTCTCACTGCACATGTCTTTCTGGTGCAATATCTATCAATTGTGAATCTGGCTGCTGCTGATGTATAAAAGAAAAAAACAGATATAGAGCTGAGCCTGCAGACATGTTCCTCAGCAATTGTTTTTGTGATTTATTTTTTACTTAATCACAAAGATTTATTTAATATACACTATCTATCTAATCAGTTTTGTTACCTATGACATGTTGCATGCTTAAACTATAATGTCTGAGTTGCATCTCTTGTGTGATGGATTAAAAGTGAAAGATTTGTATTTGATCCACTGTAGTTAAATGGTTACAGTATTACTACAGTAGGTTTGAAGGGATGGCTTCATCAATTTGATGATCTTCAGTTTTCTAAGTTTAGTCCACATACTTACTACTCATAGGATTTTTCCCCAAGAGCCCATCTAATGCTTTATGAGACAAGATACCACAATGTAAAAAACAAATCTTCACCTTGTTGCCAACAGTGGTGGCCTTACCTGCTTCACAGCTCCCACTGGCAAGTACAGTCCAGCGCTGACAATAAGTAGCCACAGTCCAGAAACTTCAGCATGTTAACACTTTGGCTAAAAAGGCTACTGGAAAGAAGACAACAGTAATTAACATTCAGCAAATCTGTACATACTAGCAAAAATTTTGAAAAGCTAATAGATGCGTGATTTTTTATTATTATTGAACACAAGATTAATTTTGTATTAAATGTTTTCTGACATTCCTTTCTGACTTGTTACATTTTAATGAGCAGAAAACCTTGAATGAGACAGAAACGTACTGCATCTGAGTAGACAGAGAAACACTATACTGATCATTTACTGTGGGGAAGATTGAGAGAATGGGGTAAAGTGATCTTCTATATGCTAAGCACTACTAGTTATAACACAGATGCCCTTAAGGGAAATGTCACGCTCCAAAATCATTTTTCTTTCTGTGTTTACCTGGAGGATTTTGTATGGTTGGAGGTCATCTTCTACGAGAGGTTTTCTAATACTTAAAAGTCCTTCCAAACAATAGTTACCTAGTCCAGGTGAACTTAACAGTAAGCCAGCTCATTACTTTTGGGTGTCCAAGTTAGCTGTGCTATTACCACACACCACCACGTTTTGCCTGTACAGAAGCAGCTTTATATAATGCAGCTTCTGTCACTGCAGTAACAACCCTGTCCTTTTCTTGTTGGGATGCCCGAGTAATCCAGATTTGGCATTCACTAATGAGCATAACTACTTGTTAGAAAATCTGAAGGGAATTGCTCAGCCCAGTCCCTTGCTGCATAAAGCTTTTGTGTTGGACAGCAGAAGCCTCCCTGTTAGCTACAGCAACTGCTGTTATTGACAGGTTATAAGAATGCCACTCTTGACTTCGCCTGGTTTTCATGTATCAGGGAAGTTAAGAGATATAACCCCTACTGAAACGTACTATAGCCACACAACTCAGATTTGGTTATCAATGGCTATCTTGATGGCTAACCCAAAGGGCAGATATGCCCTTCACATCAGTCAAAAAGCTAAGATCTTCTATACTAGGACAAAACCCAGGAAATTATCTCTAGTTTTGCAACAGACTACATGAGGCTAAGTAACTGGCATGAGCTGTACAAGGCAGCAGCTGCAGAAGAAATTGCCCCCAACCCTTTAACATAAGGACTTACCACTCTTTCTGAGGTCCTGAGCAGGATTTGAGCTTTTATCTTCTGACACTCTAGCCACCTAGCAATCCTTCTGGAGCTCCTGAAGTAGCATTTGAAGGAATCTTTCTAGGAAAAAAGGTAGCGAAATGTCGGTTGGTTACAATTTGAAGTAAAACACATCTAAAACACAAAGCAACTACCATAGTTTTGTGCCTTTCTTAACACAGTATTCAGTTTAGCCCAAAGTCAATTTGGTCACTATCTAGAGTATAGGGTCTGTAGCTGTCACCTCCTCTTCTCATCAAGGCTTATAGTTTTGAGCCTTGAAAGACTACTTAACATACACTGTACTATCACAGTAACTCCAGCTTCCAGACCTCAGTGCTGGAAGTTGCTTTCTGTTTTTCAGTCCTAAGATAGATAAAACTTGGAGTGGGAGCTTTTATCATCTCATTTCCATCTCTCTCACTCAGACCCCTCGCTGGTTTCTGAGTGCAAGGAGCACACGTGCAGATAAACGCTGCCAAAAGCACTAGCCCTGCACTGCAGCCCCAGAAGGGCAGCACTCACTGCGTGTGCCCAGCCCCTCTAGGTGCTTGGCTGGAGCACTGCACGTGCCACCAGTGGGCCAGGAATCGGGAAAGCTAGCGAGGGAAAGCTGGATAGTTGGACCGCGTTTGTCAGAGTTAAAAGAAGTCATCATACCTATCTGAGGGCAAGGGCTAATCATCAATATGTGTAGTAGAAAAGAGGTAGACTACCACATTGGACATCTTTCTTAAATGAACATTAATTTCCTTCTTTTGTATAAAAAAGCTTTTCCTTTTGTATCTAAAACTACAACAAAGAAAAGCCTGCAGTCTTCAGGCATCTCTTATGATGTTGCACTAAGAAGTAATGCATAGTTACAATGCACAGGAAACTTACAGAACTGGAATCTAACCATATTAATGTTACATACCTAGCAGGTCTGTCCTACTGCACATAGAACCTCCTTAGATACATAACACTGTCATCAATGCAAGCTGTAGTTACTCATACGTCTGTTTATGTACACACCTCGCACGTTCTGTTCGTCCACATGAGCTGCCTCTTACATGTTCTTGGTTCCCCCCTTTTCCGTACAATTTTCACCTACTTTGCTCTTTTTTTCTTAACAATTTTGTATATATGTATGTAAAAATATGCACAGTATGTAGCCACATACAACAGTACATATGCGTTGCGTTTTTGTACTTTAATCTGTTCGGTTGAATTGAAAGCAGCTCGTGAGCACCCTCTCCGCTACAGCGGTAGCGCAACCACATAGAAGTGAACGGGTTATGATTCTCAAAACCCAAATGCAAAACTCCAGAAAATGATGTTGCTATGTTCCACATCTGTGAACCTAAAATTCAGACTTAAAACTGAGATAATTTATATCTCCAAACATGCAGAAAGCGTCAAACATTCCAGATTAAATTCACACTGTTTAATATTTTTGTAAGAATTGCCTCACACTAGAAGGCTATTCAAAATAACACCAGACTACATAAAATTGATTTTAAAATGCTACTTATAAATAATGCTAATTTTCATAATTAATACAGCTTTAAACTGTGGTTGGATTTGATACACTGTGGAGAAAGGTTTTGTTTAAGGACAAAAAAAAAAAGAAAAACATTTTTTCCATTTATTTTCTGAAAAGAAATGAATGAAATTGTAGTTTGTTTTTCCTGACAGCAGAAGCTCAATGTGACAAAATGAAGTTGTTGTAATGAAATGATGCAACTTAATTAAATATTTAATAAAGAACTATGGAAGTTACAACATTTTATACTTCAAATATATTTTTGTCTAATTGAAGCTTTGTTTTATTTTAAAAAATTGCCTGCTGGAAGACATTCTCACCCTGGGAGATGGTTCAGGGAGCCTATCTGTAGTCACATCTGTACCCGATTTAATTCCTGAATGGTTAAAAGCACCATCCATTTATTTCAGCTTCTGTAAAAGTGGTTCCCAAATTTTTCTGTGATCCTCAATGTTCCCACGAAACAGATGCATATAGGGTTTTCAGGTGTGTAAGGTGAGACTGAGAAATGTTTACAGTGGCTAGTGGTCAGTCACTGGCACACAACCACCTTCAGAAGGCGCCATCCAAGGGAATTTCTCTATCTATAAGGATTTGAACAACTAGTACAAGCCAGTGATTATGTAGTGTTCTTTAAAGACTAAATACAAAACTGGCATCTTTCCCAACTTTTTATTGGTATCCCCTCTGTTGCGTCACCATTTATGTTACAGGAACAGAAACCCTCCATCGAAACACCACAACCAAGAAGTCTGTTCTCAAATTATCTAATTCTGCAGAGACCAGGCAAGCAGCATGCCTGCAAGCTTTTCCTGTTTAAGCCACATACAAAATAAAAACACAGATGCTATTATTTCTGCTGCATATTCATATGCTTACAACAGAACTTTCTGCACCCCACTATAATATCTGTGTTACAGAAAACACAGTACAGACGAACAACCTCACAGACTGACAGAAGCTGAGTTTTACAATGCAAGTCTTCACATTTCAGTGCCCTCGCCAACAGCGATGGAACCCACGTTGCCTTTTTTGCTACTCAGGGTGACCGTCTTGTTTGTAACCAAGGCATGGTTTGACTTAACAGTTCACCTTAGGTATACAGAATTTTCCTCCTCAGCTTGCTTGTCTTTCTGCTATCAGAACTCGAGAGAGATGTGGCTGCACTAAGGTGTCTATTAGTCTTAAATACAGAACCAGAACATAAATTAACACTCACGGATTCTCTATGCATTAAGAACAGCCTACAAGAGATACAGATGTGATGTGCCTAATACACCTCAAGCGTCATGAGCATTTTCATGCAGCTACCCTTGGATGCCATTTGCTAAACAACAAACCACCACCACTACAACCACCCCATCGGCTTCAGCAAGTGTCCAGGAACTGGGAGAGGAATGAGGGCAAGCAAGGTGACTAGGCAAACAAGTAAATCTCAATATGACCCAGAAACACCATGTCATCAGAAATCGTGGTCATCTTGCCAACAGATGGCAATGCCTGTAACGAATCAAGTTACTCAGAGCTCACCAGTGTCACCATATGACTACTGAAAAGACACCAAACCCCTAGATGATTCAGCCTATTAAGTTTTGTAGCTGAGCTATTCCTTGCATATGCACATGTGTGGTATTGGATACACCATCTCAACTCACAATCGTAGCATGACTTAGTCCGCTTTAATAATTAATGCAGTAATCTCTGAGCTGTGCCAACAATGCAGTTCAGAAAGCCAAAGCCAAAACAGACAAGCTTCTGCTTACAGGCTGACGGCGTTGATTACTGACTCCTTCATGCTGAGAGTGCAAATTGCTTTACACTAATTCTCTGGTTTCATAACTTGGACTGTGCACAACATGTTCCTGATCCTAGAGCAGCAACTAATTCACTTTGTATAAACACTGCTTGTGCCCGTCTGTCTTCTCCTCCCTTGGGCAGTGGTTTCTCAAAGATTTCCCCATCTCCTCCCCTTTGTTCCAGCCTCCACTTCTTCCTGGGCTAGAGCAGCCAGGTGGCATGTTTCAAAGTGCATGCCATCGACTAACAGCGCATCCTCCCAACTCAGCTGTAGCAGGAGCACACACCTTAGCACTGAAGACCTACACGTAATGCTGAAACACAGGACTAACCGGGGCTCTTTACAACAAAGATTTAAAAATAACCCAACAAAGACCACCACAACATACACGTCTTTTCCAGCGATACCTACTTGTGTTAATGTTTTGGCACAGTTACATCCAGGAGGTTTAAAAAAACGAGACAACAAGACTCCATTTGTTTCTAATTGGAAATGAAAATTCATCTGTGGAAGCCTTCCGATGAGAAGGACCTGGGGGTGTTGGTTGATGAAAAACTCAGCATGAGCCAGCAACGTGTGCTTGCAGCCCAGAAAGCCAACCATATCCTGGGCTGCATCCGAAGCAGCACGGCCAGCAGGACAAGGGAGGGGATTCTCCCCCTCTGCCCTGCTCTTTTGAGACCCCAGCTGTTCCCCCCAGACCATTCTGTGGTGGAGCTTTCTCAGTGGCTGACGATGTCTGTGCAAATCCTTAGTCTATGGCATTTCCATACTTCTAGCAAGGTTTTACTATTCTTTAAAACCAAGCAAAGCACAACAGCATGTTACTGCATTAGCACCTGAAAGCCGTGCCCACGTACGACCAATGCGCCACAGCCACCCCTAGGAGACGCTGCAGTCGCTGTATCAGCAGCGAGGACACGCTCATACCTAGCCCTGACACCTGCTGCTTTGCTACCCTGACACTTCCTATCCTAACAGCAACTTCCTAAACTAGCAAACTTAATTCCTTTAACAAATACAAACCAACAACACTTTCTGTCATAATAAAAACAATCCTACCAGATCAAGTTAGACTTGGTTAACAGCCTGCCCAAACAATAGAAACGCAGGACAAACAGCAGTGCTTCCAGCTAATTTACTTTCAAAACATGAGTAACATACAGCTCAAGGACCTACCACAGCAGAAATGGCTCTTTTTTTGTGGTTTAGAAAACATTTATGGCAAGAAAACATGGATGCAAACAGCCTCTGGAGCTGGTTCCCTCGAGTGGAAGCCAGCCCTAGTTCTGGATCCAGCCGAGGGAAGAGAAGCAACAAGAAGCATGGTCATATTTACGTCACTGGTGACAATCTGAGCAAAATCCATCACCTCCGCAGGCTGGCACAGAACTTCTGGTAACATTTAGAGCTACCTACTGGTGCAAACGTAGGCCGTCTGATAGAAACAACTATACGTGTGGAATTAAACAGCACACCTCAGCTTCCGGGGAAGCTAGAGTTAAAACAGGGCATACGAGTGCCAGATGACAGCACCAGGCACCCACTGCCACAATGGCATTAACTCCATCTTACTATGCTTGGCCACTTCATCTGCTCTGCAGAATGGCTGGAGGGACAGACCCTGTGTTAAGGCCCAGAAATACATTATGGCTATGGAAACATTAATTAGGTAGGGATAACATAACGGAGCAATTCTCAACGTGGAAGTTACAGTTGCTGTCTAAGACTTGCAGTTAAGAGTTGTATTTAATGAGTATTTGGGTATTCAAAACATTCTGGCAGTCACAAAAGGCAGAAATTTCTTTTTAAAAATCTGTCCTGTGCTCTCTTCTCAAAGCTAGCCTCTTTACTGTTTCAGCAATCTTGAGTGTTTTAAATTGAGCTGAATTTGATGCTTTTCTTTCATTCCAGGATTGTCTCTACATAAACCCACTATCATTTATATTCATACATAATAATATCATGAGAAAGAAACCCAGGGTTCACTATGGTAACCCAACAGGAAATGCCCCTGTATCAAACCTCTCTGATACAAGGATCACAATGATAAATACTCTCTTGACAATTACTCTTGGCTATTTTCCCCTTTGATTACAGAGCCTTGACCAAATTAAACTTATTCTTGCTTAAATGCACCTGCTATTTTCACCCAACTTACTTTCTGCTATTTGCTCTGGGTTTCACTAGCTTAACTGATTAGACTTTAGTTTGAAGTGCAGTGGAATATAAAATTAAGATATAATCATCAAAAATATACTGCTCTGTATCTACTCACTTCTACTCTGTACATTGTACCTTAACACTACAAATACACTATCAATGCTTTTTACATTAAGTTTCAGAGCATTTTCCTCTTTGACAATTATCTAGCAGTAGTGTATAACAATGCGACCACGTTAAAATTCTGTGCCTCTAGTTATTCAATATATTTTCAAATTTCTAAGTATTCTGATCACTTGCACAATGCTTTGCTAAATAATTTGGAAGCTGGTTCAAACATCTACGATTTCCAGCAAGTTGCACTATGAAAGCAAAGAGGAAGATGACAGCCACCTTTCTAGCAGCTGGATTTTCCACTAGCTAAGTCCAGATCCATTGGGGTACGCAGTATTCTCGCTCCATGAGCTACAAGACCTGAACAGGAGACAGACCTGTGTTTGATCTGCAGGACATTCAATGTTGTGCCTAGATAGACTACTTTACAACCAAACACTAAGCTGAGGACCTTGCAAAGAAGTTACTGGGTAACACACAGTGACTGTAAGTGACAAACGTACCTCATTTTCCTAAGCACAGTGCGGGAGAAGGCTCTCTCGATGGCTGCTCTGCAACCCAGTTGCCCTTGACCAGCATGCAGAGGAGCATCTGCACTGCCACTGGCTTTGTGGAAACCAAAACTGGTTTCTGAGTTAGATCCCCAAAACAAGACTGTGGCTATCAAATGGGCAAGGATGTATACTAACAGAGAACAATCAGGTTAACCATGCAATTTTAAATTTAATTTTTGTCCAGCTTGAACCTGATAAATTTGAAAATCTCCTTTGAACCTGAATACAGTGAGCTTGACCTCATGGAGTGCTGAATGCACTCAGAGTTACGAGAAATTCAGCTGTAATGCCCATTTATACAGGCATGTGGGCAATCACCACTGCCTCAAGCTAGTGCAAGCAACCCAGTGTCAGCAAAGACACAGTAACATTGCACATAGACCAGGTACGACCATAACAGTTGTACTCTGGTTTCCAGCAATATTGTACTACCTAATCTTACCAGACGAAGCTAGTACAGATACAACTGCAGAAGTTATAACCACAATTTCACTTTTGCTGTGCGTGTGCATAAACAGTGGGAAAAACCTGGGGCTTCTGCTTGTTCTGCAAATTTGCACTAATTACTTGCCCCATTTTGTCACTTTTTCAGGCTCACTATGTGCTGCAGCA